TCTTCTCTAGAGCCGCTTCAGAGAAAGCGGACATGTCGACTAGCCAGAAACGGTGTGATGGGGTGCGACTACAAGCTCCCAAAATATCTGCAAATACCTATTTGTAAATGCAAATGCTGTGTACCATCCACTGTAGCAAGATCCTCTGCTATATAAAACAGACTATTTTCAGCAGCTTGTATGGAATCAGTTCGGAGCATCCGCAGGAGCAGTGGGCGGGGCTTGGATAGCACATTTCCGCAACAAAACTGCGTCATTGGTGCTGCGTTTACGTTCAGTCGGACTTGGTCAGAGCAGGTAACTTGCGTACTTATTTTCGTTGAAATAATACATCTATGGCTTTTTAATAACTTCGGCAAAGACAGTAACACAGCAGTAATTAAATTATGGTGCAATAATGTGAATGAACTAGTAATACAAACACCTTATTTAGTACGTTATTTATTATATAATACAGAACAGACAAGACAGCATACTGAACGTAACATACTCCCTTTACATGAATGCAATCACTTGTACTAAACAGATACCGTTGCATTTGCATTTTAACATTGAATGTAAACCAAAAACAGGGAAGGGTAAAGAAAAAAAAGTCTTACTGTTTTTTAGCTGATTAAGCATAACATAATTACATTCACGTTTGTACAGTGTATTGAAACGAGTCATAATCTGTCACAAGGGGTAGTCTACTTCACAGCTTCACACTGAACTAATATTTAAAGTGGACAAAAAGTTAATTTGTATCACAATTTTGATTAAATTTCCCAGTAAGAACTCATTGTAAAACTCACTGTTAGTATGGGGACCTGTGACTGGAGTAGAAATTTGACACAGGGTAATATATAGCATTGGAAGATGTCATTTCAGCATCAGAATTTGGAAAAGGAACCCCTGGATAATGAGGAACACAACAGGGGCCATAACACTGAGTCATTTCATTTGATTGTGACTGGTATGTTCCCCAGCCAGAGCTGCTGACCTGATATGAAGCATACTGGTGGCTGTTTCCTCCATGTTCAGTATAATAACTGGAATAAGAGTGGCTGCCATGAGGGAGTGTGATGCTGTTATTATGGGAAAAAGAATTACCTGCATGAGGTTTCTGTGGACCCACCCTGCAACCACCCTGGACTTGCCCCAAGGAGAACATATTCTGCTGAGGAAACGATCCTGGGGCCATGTACTGAGGTGGTTGCTGGTAATAAGGAGGTGCAATCTCTTGTGTCCCAACTAACCATGGAAAGCTGTGGGGTAAGTATTCACTATGGGATAGAGTAGAAGTTTGGGCATTAAATGGTTTAGGTGCATATATTTTTTGTACATATTCAGCGTTTGAGTCAATGTTTATTTTTTTAACATTTTGGTCCTCAAATGAATCAGTCCATTGTTCATCCAGCTCTTGTTTGATGGGGTCATTTGCCTGCTCAGGGTAGTCAGTTGGTGAATTTAGTTGATATTGTAAACTGAGATCATTGTTCTCTGAAGTACTGTCAAAAATCTCAGACGAAGAGTCCAAAGTAAAATCCAGTGGATCTGGTGAAAATCTCGAATCAGACAAAGGACTTGGACCCACATGGTCAGTAGGCGAAAGTCTAACTGACAAAGGCAGATTGTCATTGCTGAAGGAGGTCCTCTCAACAAGGAGTGAGCCCTGAGTGATTGGCAGAGTAACCTTGAACACGGGCTTGTTTTGTTTAATAGTCTTTCGCTTCCTCTTTTTTCCTTGTGGAAACTGATCAGCCTTCATTGAAACTTTTTGATGTGAGAACTTGGTCACGTTTTGTCCTACAATGAAATGCATAAACAGCTTTACTACAGTAATTGAGACATACAAGCACCACTGAAAATACTTACGTTTAACAGCAATACATTTCAGTGGGAAATCAGAATTGTTCCACCCAAGTGTTTTAACACCTGAAACATAGTTTTTGGCTTTTTTCTCCATAGGAAGCAGTTAATACACACAGAATGTATACCGAAAATACAGTTGTAGTAGCCATCAGTATACTCACAGGAATGGAGCAGTTAATTAGATCCACAAGAATATTTGTAACAGATACAAAATTTGTACTTACACCAGTGGTAACTCTTGCCTGCCATTTGAATACAGAGGACTTCAGGTATTTGCACCACCTAAGAAGCAAGGGGTACACACCTGTTAAATTCAATTTCAAAACCTTTTATAGAAAAAAAGCACTCAGGATGAACAGACTGACTGGGGCATATTACAAACATAATGATGCGAATTATCTCAGAGATAGGAAAGATTAATACAAGTATTTACAACAATGTAATAGGGCCACTTATTGATGAATAGGATAATGAGTTTAAATACACAAATCTGCAAGAAAATAGTGGCAAAAAAAACAAAAAAATTATGAATCTACTAGGAAAAAGTGGAGAATTTAAGGAAAAAACATGCAAAAAAACTTGATCAACATTTCAGTGTAACTATGCTAGGGTTGAAATGTTGACTAATATGCACTGTCCCTGGATCACCCCAGGTTGCCTGTAGCTAGTAGGAGACAAACCTGACCAGTTGATCATATTGGACTACTACAACATTTTATAGGAATGACACCAACTGGCACATTATTAGCCACAAAACTGTTAAGAGTGTGTAGAAAGCCCACACACTCTTAACAGTCTACTCCTAGAACAGTTCTACAGCATCTACAGCGTCTCACAGGCACAGACAGCCTTGGGCCATGTATACAAGAGATACAGACAAATCCACAAACATCAGTAGACAGTTTGGAAATGGCCTATATTCATACGCTCCTTTAAACTTGTATTAGTGTCAGTTTAGGTCAAGGTTTGTGAGTGCTGAATATGATTATGGTTGAACTCTGTGCTGGTAGCATGCGGCTCTCTGTTTACATCCACATGGCTAATGTCTATATAATCTATTATTGAACTTCTCATCAAATTGGCAAAATGCCACTCACCTAGTTTATCCAAGGTGAAAATCACCCATAGCTTGATCTATGCAGGCATAAATGATTACTCCTCCTATTAGTGCCATACAAAACAACTTCCTCTAATACACTAAGACAGTCAGCTGGGATAGGTGTTACATTGGTAGTATACTGACTACATTGGTAGTATACTGTATACTGACTGCTTTTGCTGCGTCCTGCTGTGTGTCTGGAGTCCTCCGCACTACAAGTGTATGTTTAATTTTTAGAAAAATGTATTCCTACGTTCCTGTTTTTGTCATTTTTTTGTGTTAATCCTCTTTTAGAATTAATTTTACAACAGTTTTGTCTTAATTTTGACCAAATATAATCCCATTTTAGTTCAGGCTTAGATCTGGTGTCAAATATCTGTCAAATATTTTTGTAGGTGGTACTTGGTATGTTGTTGCTAGTTTAAAATCTTGTAAATTTGTGAGTTTAAGTAGATTTTTCAAGCTTAATTTCTTTTCCCTTCATCTATAAGTGTTCCTAATACTTGTAGATGTTAAATCATGTTAAGTCATGTAGTTATTAGCACCAATATTCCACTATAAATAATACATACCTTTAATTTGTATGCCCCTTCTTCTTTATTCAAATTTTCTGCCAGTAATTCCACCTGAGAACTATCATTTAAGTCCAGCGTATCCAACTGCTCTGGATGAGTTTCCATCTATGCAATGACATTTTAGTGCTTAGGTTGTAATTATTAAGAGTGGACATTTACAAATAAACTGCAACACGAACCAGGTAATTTGTGATATGGGAGGCGCTTGTCAGATGACTAATAATATCAGATTTATGGGAGCGGACTCTGCAGCAGTGGCATAAAAAGCAGTGCGTCTGACCATCTTCACTTTTACACTCGATTACCCTCACAAGACCTGGTGCAAAGAAAAGTCACAGCAAAGGCAAATCCATAGAGTGCCTGCTACCAGTAGTGACACATTTCTGTTCTTACCAATAAGGGGAGTTTGTTCTCCATAGTCATTGAGAAAACTGCTGTCCACTAAGGACTTTGGTAAGCTCTGAGATACATTACTGTGCTGAGCTAAATTCTGTAAAGACTTCTTCAGAGGACTGTATAGGACTATTCGCTGCAATGGGGACTTAGTCTGTTCACATATTTTGGCTGTAATCGTTTCAGAGATTTGTGATTCAGTCTCCTTCAGGGTATCCCTTAAAAAATCTATGACATTCTCAGCTGTGGTGTTAAAAAACAAAACAAAAATTTTAAAATTACAAATAAGAAAAACCCAACATGCATCAAAAAACAAAAAAGTGCACAGACCATTAGTCTGACTTTCCATCTGCTGGTATGAAGTCTTGTCAAATTCTACCACCTTCAAATTATGGTACCAAAAAAAAAATCAGTCAGTGACTAAAGTCATTTGCAGGTGAATGAGAAATAGAAACAAAAACAATTTTAAAAACCTGAACGTTTCCTGGTCCTTCTTTTCCCTCAATTTTTTTGGCAATATCCATCAGTGGCCAGGCTAACTTTGAAAGACAGGAGTCTTCCCCCAACTCTGAAACCAGTTCAGGCTGTCTAGTTTTCTATTGGAAAGCAAAAACTGTCAAAAAAAACTCTTGTCTTCAAAACGTTACGTCCATATACTGAGACTCACAATGTAATTGTATCTATGGAGGCTTCCCATAATGTGATTCCGCATGTCTGCCATATCCAGGCGACACACACACACCTCACAAATGAAGAATGCATTTCTTTGGGGTGCCCCTCCATTAACACACTCGATTATACTGCTCAGGCCTGACGGCAGAAAAGACTAAATCAACAAAAACAATGTGTAGAATCACAGAGTAAAAGATAAGCTCCAAACCTATGAAAGGCTGCAGTCTGTTCTTGTTGTTCAAGTGTGCTTTCAGAGAATTAAACAACTCGCTCTCGTCAGACTTCCCTACAAACAATAAAGGTACAAATATAACATTTTAGACCATGGATATACCCCTGACTCACAAAATAAAAGGGCAACCTTGGTGTGCTCCAGGTAACATCTTCTCTCCGTCTGGTCTCCTGCACACAAATTAAACTCAATCTTAGCATGAAGAAACAGTCTTTAGTGCTTATAAATTAAGAAAGGGGACTCCACAATGTGAATGGTGAAATGGTGAAAAACAGAAACAGTAGGATAACAAAGTAGTTACAAATTTCAAGATATTGACCAATAATGGTATCATTCATTCATAAACTCAATCTTTATTTGTTTCACAGTGAAGAAATACCATTATTAAGATTGTGATCCAAAAATGTTAGCATTTCTTCTTCCAATCTGGCCTTATATTCAAAGAGTACGTGCTTCAACAGTAAAAATAAATAAATAAAATAACATAAAAAAATAACGTTGATGAGATAAATGCATTGCTGCTGTGTAAATTAAGTTTTGATCCGCGTGTGCCGCTAGGTGGCAGTAAAGACCATGGGTAGAAGACTGGACCTGTACTTTTCATAGACCGCATATATGAAAATACGGTACTTCCGTAGTAGAAGATAGTGATGAATATTTGGGAAAACTGCTAACTTCCCACACAAAAAAAACAGCTCAGCTGTTATGTTGTGCAAGTCATTACTTGACTAATTAGATCTAACGCTACAAGCTAGTGTTATTTGAGCAGTGATTAAAAAAAAACTTCGTTGAATATGGTTTTAATAAGTATACATATAACGTTAGTGATTAAAACTCGAAAATAAAAAAAATCGTTATGACAGTTTAACATAACGAGGTAATAATTAGTATTAGTATCTTACAAAGATCAATGGTTAGTAACACTAGCAGCAAAGTTGAGCGTGTCTGCCCAGGCCAGGCTTATTCCTCTGGGTTTTAACATTTGAGTTAACGTTAGCTTACCTGGGCAACATGGCGATATAAACAGCCAAAGTGGGTGTACTTACCTCGTGTGGAGGATTCTCCTAGTGTAAATAAATACTTTCTTAAAAGTCAGCTGAACTTAGTCCTCGAGTGAGTGGTGCCCAGCCCCCTCTACAAACCACAGTACCGCTGCTCGTGCTGTACTCGCGCTAACCTAACCCTCCACCACCACCGCCCCCAAACTTCCTGCAGACTGCCTTCCTCCAGAGAAGCTGCAGGGGTCATGCCCGGATGAACCCAGTTCGACCCTTCCCTGATAGAGCTTCACAATCTCTTTCAGATTTTTATCTTTATTACTAAACTGGTTTACTCTGACTGGCTGTGCCAGTTTCATCCACATGTGGTTTGATTTGCTAAGGGCACGCCTCCTTCATGTCTCTGGAGGTGAAGGGTTCAAGGTGTCCATGTAATCCAGTCTCAAAAGATAAAACTTTTGGATTGGTCCACTGCTGGGGAAAAAAATTGATTTAGGCCTAGATAAATAAATCTTACTTGCTGTGGTCTGTAATAGGCATAAGCCGTACTGTTAAAGTTAGATGACAAGACGTTTTAAAGTGTATTTATTTCAATGCAGTCATATTTCAAAGGATTTTAGTACAATAGAACACAATGTCAGAAAATGCCAGTGCCGTGGTGATTATACAGTTAAACACATTTACACAAAAGTAGCTAGATAAACCAAAATACATACATGATAAATACATACTTTACTTGCCCCTGCCACAGGTCAATTAGATCACGCAGCACAGGTCTGTGCTCCAGGCTGAGGCAGTGTCAGGAAATAATACACAAACAGTGTATAATTAAACAGTATCAATCTCCAGTAACCTCCAACTGACTGTGGATTAGATCACCTTGGTCAGAATAATCAGTGCTCGAGACTTGTCAAAGTTTTACGTGTACACAGGGTCAACGTGTGAGCCTTCACACTCCAACCGCTACTGTGGCTGGATTGAGCAGTCTCCCACTCGTGCGACCTCGGCACAACCCTTTTATTAATCACACATACATTGTTACACAACTTTGGGTCAGTTTCCACTTCCCCATCACCGTCTCCACCTCATGTCTCACAATCTCCTAGTAGACAGTTTCTGGGACATTCAGTTCCCGTACATCTGCGCACAGACTGTCACGGTGACCTTTAACACTTCTCTATTTGCACAAACAATGTATACAATGCAGGAGTTGCACGACATAGTTTCATGGTTTCAAAACACTTTAACACATATAGATAATGCAGAAGATTCCATTGCTAGCCTATGTACATTTTAATAACTTCATTGCAACTTAAGCATTTCTCTAACAGGCAGTGTGTTAGGTTTGAACCACCTCAAATCCCCTGGACATTTTGAGTAAAAAGGCTGCATAGATGTGTAACATTGTACTTGCAGTGGATGGTAAACTTGATTTGGAGAGGCAAACCTGGGTGAATAATAAACATTCTGAACAGGTATGTTTGAATGTCTGTATAGATTTGCTGGGAAACCTTTCTGGACAAAATGGACGTACCCTCCCGTGGCCAGCATAGTGTTTTAGTGACATGAGCTCACTGTGGCTGTTGCTGTTGATGAGCCTCTGACTGACTTGAACTTTTGCATTCATAACACATATTTTGTCTCTCTTAGAGCGTACATTGTGTTGTGGTCTGCAAGAGACAAGAGAGTAAATAGGCAGCTGCTGACTCTGGCCTTGGTTCTGGTGTGTGGTATGTTGGTCCACTTGTGTTGGTCACTGGAACTGCAAGACTTGGCTTTGTTGAACCTGAACATGGGTTTGTTGGATTTGAATCTTTAAAAGAAGTGTTAAATGGCTTCTCTTGATCTTGGGGCGGCTGTGAAGTCTGAACCTGACTCTGCTGGATTTTTGAGTGTACAGCACCAATGCTGAAATCCTTTGGCTGATCCTCCTAGTTTGGTGTCTGGACCTTCTGTTGTGATATCTGCATAGAATTTTGATGTTCTGACTTCTGAGACTTCATTCTTCATCTTAACTTCATGCACCTCATTTTGTTTTGGTCTCCTCCAGTTAGGCCCGAGCCAAAGCACAAAAAACTGTGTCTGTGTCAGGGAATTTACCCCAGACTCAATTCAGTAAAAAGCAACTCAGATACGACAGAGTGATTTTCTTGCCCAAGGAGTGCGAGACATGCCTGACTCTACCTAACACTGGACTCTTGCACTCCTCACAGCTCTTTTATTGTAAAGCATCACACAATAGATTACGTGACATGTTGTTCAAATGTTATCTATGACTAACAGACTTCGGCTGACACTGCACCCGATTACACACTTGCTTTCATGTTCCAGGTGACAGACAGTCCCTTCGTAGTTCTCTAGGGTCCCGTGTCAGCCTATGGGTGTTTACAATCACTAGTTGTTTTTCTACAGTATTTAGCCTAATGAGTCAGCGGATACATCAACCATATCAGCTGATGTTTTCATGTTACATACAGCTTGAACAAAACACAAAGCAATTTTGATAATCTTATATTATACCATGATTAATACTTTAAATGATTCATCATTTAAATGAGTAATACTTAAAACACAAAAATTCTCTAACAGTCTGGAGCCAAAAACAAAAATCAAAAATCAAGTAGTAAACAAGCCTGAATACACCAATGAACAGTATCAAAAATTAGGCCTCAGTGAGCTACATTTTTGAGCGAATGTCCTGGAAAAAAAATAATGAAATGCAGCTCAGTAGCAAACTGTTATGGAACTCTTTACATAATCTACACATTAGTTAATGTTATCATCTATATTGATTATGGGAACAACAGACTACCTCACCACATGTAATCTTTTTGTATAGCTGACTGGTACCTTGTTATCTTATGTAGGTTCTCTTACCACCATATACTGTATTAGGCTACTGGGGTCCTGTTGAGAAGACCAGGGCTAAATTACGCAGCCTGAGCCTCACTACCTTTTTCTAATCACTCTAATAACCCTCAGAAAATCATTCAACTTTAAAAACACACTGCAGATAACTCTGACAACACTCAAAATATCACATAACTTAAAACCACAGTGCACACTCAAAAATATCATTTACTACACTCAAAAATATCATTTACTACACTCAAAAATATAATTTCTTCAATAACACAAGGTAAATATTTGACTACACTCAAAAATATCGTTTAACTTCAATAACACAAGGTAAATATCTGACTACACTCAAAAAGTATCATTTAACTTTAAGAAACACCATACAGGTAACTTTAACAACTCTTAAAGTATCACCTGGGGAACACTTATGATGGATTCAACATTTATATTAATCTCACTGTGTATGTAATGGTAATGTAATATTCACTTTTTTTTTACTCAATCTTATTATAATCAATGTATTAATATGTGCACTTAAACAATTCTGTTTCTGAGTATTGCAGATTTCATGAGTTGCAGAAGGTCATAAAGTCATATCTACTCAATAACAGGAAACATCTTGGGCGACCATTGCTTAAGGAAGATAAACTAAGGAAGATGAAATGAGGAAGGGCAGACTGACCTTAACTCTGTCCTGAACACACTGTACTGAAGTGTTATTTTTGTGTTTTGAAAATATAATGGGTATGTAAGCAAAAAGGAACTACTCATGTTGTAATGTTTTGCATGTTCCCCCTCCCGTTCTGAGATGAGTAGTTCCCATGTAACTAGGGCTCCTAATACTGAATAAAAGGCGTGGAGAAACGAGGGGAGACTTTAGAGGGTATTGAGTGAACAGCAAGTTACATGTAACTAAAGTTCTTCTCTCGGTACTCCCTCCACGCGTGTAAAAGATATTAATCTCTTGTCTTCTCTCTTGTTATTGAATATTGAGTATAGGTGTAAAGGTGAACCTATCAACTTACAACTTCACTTAGCTCTAGAAACCACCCTATGACATACTCTATACTCTATCTGACAACATTTGCCCAAAACTCATTTTTAACAGTGCCTCAAAGAATTTAACCAGATTTAGTTTTACACCAAAAACATTGCATTAGAAAATATCCCCAAACATTGCGTTTTTGTAAGCAACTTACCTAGGATGACTTGGCTTGCTCGAAGTAATAGTATATGTATATTAATTAGAGGGAGAGACTCAACAAAAGATCCCAACAAGTGATTTGTCTTTGTCTTATTTTTTCTGCTTTTTATTATTTTATGCACTACTCCTGTGGCTGGTTGTCACTCTTTATACTCGTGATCACTCAGGGTTTTTAGGCCCGGAGTGCCCACGACAAAGCAATTATGACCAACTCACTCCGTAGTTGCTATTTTACCAGAAAGCTCATACAAAAATAATTAGGACAAATCACTATGCAAGTACCCTTTTGGAGAAATTACCCTGTGACCAGGAAAGCTATAAAGCACAGCCTAGTCCGAATTGCAGATTCTGAACTCCTAAGTAGAGCCCGACCGATATCCAATTTACAGACAGATAAATGTCCTAATATGTGGCTCCGCATCAGTATTTATCTACGGTGTAATTTGTCTGTGTCTGTGTCCGTACTGTCCCTGAACACACCACCAGAGTGATGTCACTTCACTCGCGTGTGTTTGTTTACACCCGCAGCCGTTTGCAACACTGAGATTATATATTTTTTCGGACAATCGGTTTGAGTCTGAATTAAAAGGACATTTATTAGTGCATACTTGTGATGTGAGGAGGAGCCTGTGTGAGCGGTGAGTGTTGGAAATACATCGACTTTGAAGCTAGTTTAGGTTTTGTTAGCGATTAGCTGCTGTAGCTCCCACACATAAACAGGCTGTTTTCTATTGTAAAGTGATTATATTGGCCGTATATTTACTACTGGACCAGCATTGATATGTAAATGAGCTGTGAATAGACGTGTGAATGATTCACATTTATACATATATTTAATTACCGCGGTGCGCACATTTTTACGACTAAGGCTAATAGCGATAGTTTACTAGCTAGGAGTTATGGGTCGGATCAGTCGCGCCTCCGCCGCGGATCCGTCAAAATAAGCCCGGATGCGCGGCGGAGGCGCGGCTGATCCGCTGCGTATCTCACGGATCCGCCCAGGACCCGTTTTGGATCCGCTTTCAGAACCGGGTTATCTGCCGCGGATCTGTTTATTGTGTCGTTAGGAGCCTAAATATGCTTCAGATTTAATACTGATCCACTTCCTACTGACCTAAATACACACCAGCAGCATTTGCATTGTAATTGTACATAAACCTTTTACAGCAAGTATTAAAACTAGGATATAAAGGCTTAAATTTAAAAACATAAACTTAAACAATTTCAAAGTTGGATCAGTGATATCCTATCACTAAATCTCATTAGTTAAGAAAAAAAGAAACTTTTTTTTTTTTTTACATTGTAAACAATATTTATTTAAATCATTAATTAGAAATCTTAGGACATGAATAATTATTATTAATGTTATAGGACTTATATACCCTTTGAGTTAACCAATGCTTCATTCTTAATATGAAAATGACAATTTACAGTTTTTATTAAAAATAGTTCAAGTTAAGCAAAGTTTTTGTTTTTTTTTAAATGGCAAAAAACAAATATAAGCTATATGAGTAAAAGCCTGGACAGATGAGACAGAGTGTAGCCATACCATACTGTTTAAAACTAAAACTTAACTTGTGTTTACCACCACAGTACAATTAGACGGATGGTTGTTCTTATAGAGTGTGCAGTGTGGGAGCTTCAGAGCCTCTGTCTTTAGCTTCAGTCTGAGGCAGAGGTGTAGTGAGTCTGGCTCCTCTTCAGTCCTACTGGTGAAGATCCAGTCTGTCAGTGTCCAGGACTGGGCTTCCCCTTTCTCACAGCATCTGAAATGACACCAGTGTGTATTAAACACCCCATTACACCTCTTATTCTGGTAAGGAGTTAGAGTTCAGGTTTGTGAAGAACATTGTAAGTCATGACAGTGGCTGTGTGATTTGAACATGAAAGGTAAACACTAGATTGGAGAAATCTATGCACTTACAGAGGGTCAGTCTTTAAACTCCACCACAGCATGTTCTGAAAGAAACAATATGCACAAAAACAGGTGTGATTATAATGTGCATATGTTTAGTTATGAAAGTTAATAAAAGTAGGATAATACAGTAAACTTACACAGGGTCTGTCTCTACATTTTTGGAACTTGGCCCAGCAGAGGGAATTCTGTAAAACATCAAATAAGAGAAACACAAATATCAGTTTGGATCATTTCAGGCCACAGTGTTTAATACAAGTGCAGTATTTACCTCCAGAGGGTCTTTATCATGCTGTTATGTCCATCTTCTTATTAACCATAGTATATTCTGAAACAGAGATGAAAAACATTATTTAACTCATAGGAAATACTTTAGCGCAGTAAAAACTGAACTCTTTTGTTTTAGTATAAGCCTGAGTATGAACATGAGACGTATTTCACTGTTGTTAATACACAATACTCTACTACATTTAATTTTACCACAACATTTAAAATATAATAATCAATTTATGATGGTGTTCATAGTCAATATCAGTGTAATTTAGATGTGACACATTAGTGTTCATGTCAACATCTCTCACTGAAAGCCTGAAGCACCGTCTCAAGTCCCATAACAGAAAGTTAGAGACAAAGTCAGATCTGGCTCTAAACTAAATCCTCACTGTCACAGAAATCATTAAAAGTACTTACTTCTGATCAGCGTGCCGGGCTCCTGATGGGGACATTCAGCAGAAGGACAGGGGCTCCTGATGTCATCTGGGGAAAAACAACATAAGTTTTGGTTGGTTAGCTAACGTTAGCTGTTGTTAAAAGTTGTGCTTTTTATTACGTTACGTTATTGTATTATGGCACGTTGCGTTAAATTATTGTATTAAGGCACTGACATGACTGCACTTTAGTCTCAACTCAACAGTCAACACTCTAGTCTACACAAATAATAATTATCTCTGGTTAAAAACACAATCAGATCAGACACCGGTGTCACCGTCGCTCCACAGCCGAAGGGAGAGCGCCGAGAGCGGCGTCCAGCCAGAACCGAGCCCGTTAGACACGACCAATGATCACGGAGCAGAATTACATTTCTGTGATCGTAAAAATATACAAGAATATACGTAGCGTTATATAAAAATAGTATTTAGACTGGGATCTAGCTCAAGAGATGGAGTTATCCTGACTCCTGACCTCACATCGTCTTCATCACGTCAGCTGCTCCTGTCGCTAACTTTCCTACTGCACTCGTCAAAACTGATAAAACACACAGAGTCACAGATGTACACACACCACAATATAACGTTAACGTTATGTACATTAATGATGACTAATACAATTAACTTTTAAACTATTTCTTACAGTTAAATCCGCGGACAACAGGTGGATGCTGCTTCTTTCCACTCAGGTCCCGATAACGGCTGATGAGTCAGTGGCGCGTCCGCGCAGCGAATCCGAACCGGTTTAGCCGTGGATCCGCGCATTGATAGTACAAATCATTGTGTCAAAAACAAAGTGTTGTGTTAAAAGTGCGTTCACAGTGCGGATCTAAGATGATTTAACCGCAGATTCTCTCTGTAACAGCAGGCCATCCAAGGGTTAGGATTAGCAACAGTCAGAAAGCGAATACGGAACAAATACGCAGCGGATCCGCAAAGCGGACGGACTGTGGGGCGGATTTGGCGGACCGAAAGCGGATCCGCTGCGGATCCTGATGCTAGTAGGGAAGATAGAAACCGAGTCCCGACACTCAGTCCTGGTTCAGTTCTGGTTTAGCCCTGCTTGCAACAAAACAATGTCAAGAGTCGCTTGGGAGCCGAAAGAGCCAGCTGCTTTAGTGAGCCGAGCCGGTTCTCCAAAAAAAAAAAAAAAAAAAAAAACTGGAATACCCATCACTAGCAGTGACAGTAACAGTAGCTAGAATGTGATGCAAAAATGCCATTAGGCCAATCTACTGTATGTAAATATGATGTAAAGAGTCAAAATAATAATAAATGTTGCCTAAATAAACCCAATTTAGAATCCACTAGAGCCAAACCTAAGTTTTTTAATCAATTCAAGATTTACAGTGAATTTTTACATCACTAAATATATCGGCGATTATATCGGCTATCGGCAGCTCCATCTCCCATTATATCGGTTTCATATCGGCCACAACAAAATCCATATCGGTCGGGCTCTACTCCTAAGCCGAGTTACAGCCGGAGGGCCAATGCCAACCAAAATCAGGATCTCTTCATTATGCAGAATTTTCAATATTTATATAGGGTCACAGGGCTCCACCCAGGTATATGCAAAGTGATCAGTACGTCACACATGGAACACATTTTTCCAAGTACAGGCAACACTTTTCAGAAACCACAGTCTTCACCATTCTAGCCCCCAACGCTCCTCCCCCAGCCAGTTGTGAAATAACTGCCACCTCGCTTTGTCGAAGGAGCAGGAAGCTCGCACTTGCATTGTCTACAGGCCTCCCACGCACCGCATAACACATAGGGTTCGTACATCAGTGTCAAATAAACGTCAACTGTCAAAAGAACAGAAGGCCCTTATCTTTCCTGCACACAAACATAATGGTTACAGAAATTAATGCAAAATAACCTAAACTTGAAAATTAAATTGAAAGAATTAAGCAAATCAACATAAAAGAAACGAATCAAATTAAATCAAAACAGAACAAGTACTTATGTTAATATGGGTCACAAAAACACTTCTAATATCTAAATCAAACACTCTTAATCTCTAATGCTCTAACAGTTATTCATTTATCAAAATAAAGCATCATGAACATCTTCATCTGAATTTCAGGAGCCCTTTTAGTGGGGCCTATGCCAAAACCTTCATCTTTTTACCCCACCCGAGTGAGCTCTCCTGTGGCCGAGGGGGGGTTCACGACAGGTCCTAACGGGATCTAGTCTGTTATTTTACTGCTGTTGACCCAGCCTTGTAAATTAAAACATGTGATGTCTAAACTTCTATGTATCTTGTATGTATAAGCATCATTCATTTTTATACCCCGTGGGGTATAAAAACCCTATATGCTTTGCTGTGTTAGAGATTAGGGATAGACTGTCAAGACTGTCACTGTCTTGAGCGCACATTTGCTTTAATAAATGAGATACCTTGATTCAAAACATCTTTTCAATTCTTTTATTATTTGTAGTCTAGAAATTACATAACAATTTGGCATCAACAAACAGTTCTTTCATTGGGTCCTTTTTCTGTGAGAGTGATCCTGCAGCTGGCCACCCTGGGGGGACTTCTACAAGCCTCTGCCATTTGAGACCGAGGGCTGTATCGTTCTTGCTGGAAAATGCCGGCACAAAGAGGTCTACCTGGTCTTCTAGTTGTGGTGAGTTGTCTTGCTCGACATGTTCTACGTGGTGTTTCATTGCAGGAACTAACAGAAAAAAAGGAAAAAAGTGAGGAAACTATACTGTGTACTAAAATTACGAGGACAACACCTAGGGGGCCAATACAATAATCATGCTGGCACTCCACTGATAGGAGCAGACAGAAGTGGTGTCTGTGACCTTGTGTGATCTTGGTCTAGAATTTAGCTGCTGTTGTAAGCATGCTGCTTGTGGTAATGTGTGGGCTAGGAGGCACCCAGCCAGAGAAGGGTTAAACTGGAAGGGCCAGTGTCCTAGCCATTAAGGGCTAAAAAACTATAAACACGCCTGGTAAAAAATGAAAATAAAGTCAGATAAATACATTCACCGATGCATAGAGGTTGGTATTCAGCGCACTGGCCTATTTCAAGAAGGAAAAATGGGAATTAGACAAGACAAGGGCATTGCTCAGCTGATTCCAGAGTCACCGATCACTATGGCAATGTGTAATAAGTATGGGGAAGGATCCCTGGAGTGCTTGCCAGCTTGGACTGAGAAATTTGAGTTTCGGATGGGGTTCTCAAACTTAGATTTTCATGGAATCAAATCAAATCAGAACTCTAGCACAAGAATATGACAACCATGAAAATATATTACGCCCCGCCCTAAACCCAACAGGAAGTTGGCCATATTGGATCAAACCTGTGAATAATAAAACGTATCTCCTTACACGCATCTCCTCACACAGTTTTCATCACAAACACTTAAAATTGGCCAATAATAAAACTAAGATATTCATATATACTACATTTTGAATATGACGTTGGGTGTGAAGTTTTAACAAAATTGCAATTTTTGGAAATAAAAAAAAAAAAAAATCTCTCACACACATTTTTGCCCATGCCTGTCTATGTTTTCAATAAGATGAAAAAGAAAAGAAAAGGAAAAAAATAAAATAAAATAAGAAAATCGAATCGAAAATCTAGATCAATCAATATTGGGGGGGGGGCGGGCCCAGCCTTAGAGCAAACTATACCTTACTGCATTTTTTTCTTGTTTGGGGCACTGATTTGCCATTTTATTTATTTTCGGAGAACGGAAATAACCAGAAAGTAGAGAAGTTTCGTGAGTTTTCGCCATTGTTCATTGGGTGAAAAATGGGAGGATGGGGGTCCGAGGTTGGCCTCAAGAAAAATAGTAACGAGTAGCATCGCTTTGCGATATTACTACGGATACGGACCTACACTACTCACAGTAAGTTAGGGATATTGAGAGAGAGCCAGTGAATGTCATATATACGGTGTTTGTTTCACTTCAGAAACTTTTGGGATAGGGAGACAATTGTATTGGGGTGATAGACAAACCTCATTTTGTGTTTTCCATGTAATGGTCTCACTGTGTACAGTGTGCCTTACATATTGGAGCCAAAACCCTTTTTAATGTGGCATCATGTGCGCCCTCATAGGAATGGCGGTGCAATTACAATAACACCAAAACTTGGTCACGCAACACTACCCTCACTCTGGATGGCAATAATTGCAAAAATAATTCCACTCCAGTTTAACACTGATTACAACTGTCATTTTAAAGCCAGTAAAATAATAATAAAGGTACACAGTTACATGTGACTCAACCGTTTAGTTTTGTTGTTTTTTTGGGGTTTTTTTTACAAAAATGAACTGTATAGCTGTATCAGAAAAGTATTACTGAAACTTTAACTCTTATATATCAATAACATGGACAGTTCAGCTTATCCATTCACCAAGCCTGTCAGGAGGCCTGATATGGCGTCTCGGCCTTTGAGGACGCAGGCTCTGGATATGCCATGCCTGTGCCCCACCCCCACTATTGTGATCATTACGAATGGAGGAGTCGGGAGCAGGTGAAACAAAGGCTGAATCCTCTCCAGTTGGTTCTGGCGCTGCTGGTGCTCTCCTAACTGCTAGAATCATTGAAGAGGCCAGGTAGGGCAAGATCCATGTCTGTAGTGTCCAGTTGGAGTGGAGGGGGGGGGACCTCTTCTGGTGACCATCTTTGGGCCAGGTCAGTGGCCCAGGTGTTGTCCAGAGGTTCTCGGCTCCGATAAGGCTTTACCTGATCGTGATGGACAACTTTTGCCTTGGATTTTGGACTTCTTTGGATGCGATAGACAAGGTCGTCTAGCTGTCCCAAGACAAAATAGAGGCCATCATATGATGGTAAAAACTTTTTTACCTTGTTCTTGATTTTTCGTGTGCCTTTGATTAGGTACCAAACTGCATCACCGATGTGATACTGTGTCCGGCAGCAGTTTTTGTCATACTATCTTTTGGCACGGGTCACAGACTCACTCAGCACATCACGGGCAATAAGGTGTGCCAACTCAAGTCTTTCTTGTTGCTGCTGAACATACACAGGGGCAGAAGATGCAGTCTCATCATCAGGAGGGAGCCCAACAACCAAATCAACAGGTTCACTCACTTCGCGGCCAAACACCATGTAGTTGGGGGTAAAATTAGTGGCGCTATGTTTTGTTGCTCGGTAGGCCATGAGAGCATAGGGAATCATGAGGTTCCAGTCCCAGTGGCACCGCTCGGCTGTGGTAGCTAGGATCTTATGCAGGGTAGCATTAAATCTTTCCACTTGTCCATCTGTCTGTGGCCTGAAAGGTGCGGTGTGTGTCTTTTCGATGTTGAACATACTGCACATTTTCTGGAACACTTCGGACTCAAAGTTTCGACCTTGATCACTTGATCACAGGGCCAGAGGTGCTCCATAACGACACACCCACTCAGAAGCAAGAGCTTCAGCCACAGTAACAGCCTGCTCATTTGGTAGAGGAAATGCTTCCAACCACTTAGAGAAAGCGTCTTGTACCACCATTATGTAATGGTTTTTGCGTTCAGTTTCATTTAGTGGTCCCATGATGTCCACAGCAATACGCTCCATGGGCGCACCCACTCGAACAGTTCCCATAGGGGCTTGTGGCGTCTTCAACGGCCTGGCCTTTGCTGCACAGCTTGTACAAGTGCGACTCCATAGAGCTGCATCCTCACGCATATGGTACCAATAAAATCTGGTCTGCAAGCGGGTGACTGTGCGCTCTACCCCAAAGTGTCCTCCAACTGGCCCTTCATGCATGTGTTTAAATATTTCTGACTGGAGGCAAGACCACCTGAGGGTAATACTGAATGTCATTCAGGCAATAGAATTTGCGAAACAGTATCCCATCTTTCAGATAAAGTCTCTTCCACTGGCTCCAATAAGCTTTTGTTGCTGGGCTGCAAGGAGCTACAGCAGTCCATTGAGGGCGATTGGCACTGGTTTCCATCCACACTTTGACAGGCGCAATATCAACATCTGCCTCCTGTGACTGACGAAGTTGGTCCATAGTCCAACCGGGAAACAACTGGGTCTCATTGGTATTTGTCAGGTATATTTTTGCCTCAGTAGGGATCAGAGGATCAGTGTAGCTTCCACTTACCCCCACTGGGCTTAATGCAGGGGAAGTTGGCCTTTGGTCCACCCCCACTGTACTCTGCGTCACCAGGTTGACGTCAGAGTACAACTCACACTGTACTCCCTGCTCATTGATGCTTTTAAGGTGTGCAGGTTGTGGTAGCTTGCAGGGGCAAGACTGACGGCAAGGGCGTCTTGATAAGCTGTCAGCATTACCGTGCTGCTGGCCTGGTCGGTGGACAATTTCGAAGTTGTACTTGACCAGTTTTTCAAGCCATCTCGCCAGCTGTCCCTCTGGCTCCTTCATACGCATTAACCACTTCAGGCTGCTGTGATCTGTGCGCACTGCAAAAGAACGCCCCAAGAGGTACTGTCTGAAATGGGCTGTAAAATCAACCACAGCTAACAGTTCGCGTCTCGTTGTACAGTAATTTTGCTCAGTCTTTGTTAACTTGCGGCTCCCACCGAATAAGGTGATGGACTGATTTCCAAAGTCCAGATGGGCTCGAGCTTGTGTCAGGAAAGGATGGCCCAGCAAAGCTTCACTACTGGTAATATCTGCAACCAGGAAATCAACACTCACTTGGTGGTTACTAATCTGGACTGGAACATGTGCTTCACCAAGAACAGGGACGTCTCCGGGTCCCACAGCAAGGAGAGTCTTGTCGGAGGTTGTGTGAAGCTGGGGCCGAACCTCAGAGCTGATAGCGTTATACACATCCAAAGGCAGCACTATCTAGAACAGCACACACATCAAGTCCATACAACTGCATTTTGATGCTCATTTCCTGGGTGCTGGTTTTAAGATGGAGCAGTGTTTTCTCTGAGCCCTCAGGAGGGTCAAAGGGGTTGTGAGCCTTTGTGGTCTTTCTGGGCTGGGCACTGTCTCTGAATATGGCCTATACCAAAACAGTTTCTGCAACGGACAGCGCCTTTAAAATCTTTTGAGCCTTTCTTTCTAAAAGGCTTGCTCAGCCCGAATGGGGTCGCATGCTCAGGGCTTTGTGCTGAGGGAACCATGTCTGGCTGCATTTCAATCCGCCCTTCTCTGATGACAGCAGTGCAGGGTCTCCTGTCGTGTTGGGTGCGGGTTCGAGACTGCATGAGATTGGTGACATTTGAAGCGGCCTGTCTTATTGCCTCATAGCGGCGAGCTACTTCATAAGCTTGGGCTAAGTTGCGGGGCTGTTGTTCAAGCAGTTTTTGTACAATGTCAGCATTCCCTACTGCGTTGATAAAGACCTCCACAGCAATAGCATCCTGCTCCGTTTCAGTTCTGTCACTGTAGGCCACTGCAATTTTCTCATATAAGTCATCTCTCAAGGCATGAAGAGCTTCCACTGGTTGGAGAACACGCTGCCTTAATTCAATTGCCACAGCTGCAGCATACTCAGAAGATGGGCCTTAAGCAATCTCCAACTCCTCCACAAGGTAGCGGTAGTTCCACTGAGATGACCGGGGATTCCTGTGAATGATGGCACCAGCTGCACCCACTAAACAAAACTTCAACTGGATGGTCTTTGTTCTTTCAGACCAGTAATTTGCCTCAGCACAACTTTCAAAACGGTGTAGGAACTCTTTCCATGGGGTTGTGCCATCATATTGACACGGCCGCAATGTGGGGACCTTCTCTCGGACGCCACCTTCTTCCTCACTGTCAGACATGGACTGGCGGGGGACATGATAGGGATAGGGGTAGGTTGGAGGTTCACAGCCTGGCCACACTGTATTATCTTTAAATGGTTCAGTGGAGTATCCATGGTAAAAGTCTTTCATTGGGCTGCAGTCAGGGGCAGGAACAGTGGAACTCACATAAAGAGGGGAGTAATGAGACAGGGGTGTGCTTTGGACCAAGCCTCCATCATGGTCAAGAAGGAACGGATTACTGCCTGTGTTGATAGGTGCCACCTGTATAGTTTCAATAAATGGATTAGTGTTTGGCATATTCGGTGGCACAGTCAATGCTTCATGCTCCTCCATCGGCTCATAATCGCCCACAAACGGATTATAGCTTCTATGGCTCCTTTCTGTCTCTGCGGTCATGTTTGCATTAATTTCTAAAGCAACTTCATCAGCTTGGGTTAATGTCATGAATGGGTTGGAGTACTTCGTGACTCTCCCGTATACGTCCTCGTACTCTTTCGCAGCCGCCATTAGCTTAGCGTCTTTTAACTTTACTGTCTGTTTCCAAGAGACCACCGGTATTATGTCGCGAAGCGGTCCCTTCGTGGTCGGCAGTGTTGGACCCGTTCGTTGCTCACTGTAGTGCAGGATATGAAAAATGAGACAGTACTTCGTGCATTTCTTCATTTATTTGGCTTTGTCACAACATGCAACTGCTGAAGAACACAGAGAGAGAGAGAGGAATTATCCTGCTGAAAACTAAACAAAACCCCCAGAAAAACACAGGACATGTACGCCCTCATAGGAATGGCGGTGCAATTACAATAACACCGAAACTTGGTCACGCAACACCAAGTTCACAATTCAAATGGCCATGAACACACAACGTCACTTAAAGGTTGTATAGAGGATTTTCCAAGGAACGAGAAATCCAGCGACTGTTTGTCCTTTTTCAAATGTTGCGCATGCTTGAAACCACCCCCCTTGCCCACAGCTCCCTTCGTAGAAACGCCTCCTCCCTCCTCCTCCTTACGCCAGAAACAGGTTTGTTTACAGCCGGTGCGCTGCACATGACTTGTAAACAACTAACTACAGTGTTGGTTAGGCAAGGCGGAGAAGTGAGGATCGGGGGGAGGGGGTGCGCGGATATTTTGTGCGCGCAGAAGAAGTGAGGAGCAGGGAGAAGAACGGAACGGGGAGAGGAGAGGGGAGCAGGAAAGGGTGCAGAGAAGGGTGCGCGGAGATTCCGTGCGAATGAACTAGCTACAACACGCAGCAGCAAGCGGACTCTTTCTTTGCCTTGAAAATTACGTTTTCAGGCATAGGATATCACATTCGTGTCCTGAAAAACGTTTGTCTAGCTCTTGGAAATAAAGTACGTTTTCATAATAAGCAGAAGTTACCTGTCCAGGAGTAATTTGGCGACCAGTGCGTCAGTCTTTAGACCCTGCGTCTGCTTCAGTCGCGCCATCGCTAGAATGAATCTCCAAGAATCATCTTAGTTTGGCTTCGCTGCTTTTCCCCTTGTCTTCTTTTTTCAGCGACCTCAAAAACTGACTTTCTTTTGCGGCTAACTGCTCCTGGATTCTTGTCTGCCATTGCAACAATCTTTGTGCGAACTGCGACGAAGATATAGGTCAAAAAAGCCGCTAAGAACTGTTGCGTTGGTGGAGTAAACAGCGTCTGTGCGTCTTGCGTCTGTGGACTGCGTGACAGGCGTACGTAAACCATGTAATGGCAGAGCGCAGGCAAGTCAGTTATGCTAGAAACGTAGGGAGTTTGATTGACAGCCTATCAGCTAACAGATAACGAGGCAGTGTCGTTATCTATTGGCAAATGTTTAGCTGGCCCCACCACGTCCAGAGTTGATGAATTTTTATTCTCTTTTTTTTGGTCATCATAATTACAAGGCTACTGCATCTCTATAATCTATCACTGACAATTTGAAACAAAAAATAAAATCCTCCATACAACCTTTAACAGACGAGTAGTGCCACCTAGCCATACCGCTCCTTCAGGGTCGGTGGCAGGCAGTCAGATGTTGCTCGTGAACTTGGTGTGTCTCAAAGTGTCATCAGCAGACTTGCATCAAGACACAGAACTACTGGCAGAGTTCGTGACGGACCCAGGAGAGGAGCCTCATGAGTGACAGGCCACAACAGTGACCAGTAACTAAGGACCTATGCACTCAGACATCGTTATGCAACTGCCACACAGTCGCAGGCTTGTTTTTGAGATGTGAGGGGTACTAGGGTTTCCAGACAAACCATTTGAAACTGACTCTACCGCTTTGGTTTTAATGCCAGACGACCATTGCAGGTGACTCCACTGACACCAAGACACCGCCATGAATGTCTGCAGTGGGCACAAGACCATGTGACCTGGATAATGCAACAGTGGTCCACCGTCCTGTTCACTGCTGAGTGTCGGGTCACTTAGCACAGAAATGATGATCGTCAGCATTGCTGCAGAAGGCGAGGTGAGCAAAATGCCGACTTCAACATGGTCCTCAGGGTTCGCTTTGGTGGAGGAGGTGCAACAGTCTGGGCAGGCATCACCAGTCAGTGCAAAACAGATTTGGTTACTGTAGATGGTTCAGTCACTGCATGTTCTTACCTCAGAGACTTCATTGAACCCATCATGATCCCCAATTCCGCCAGTACACTCCCAACTTTCTGTTCATGAATAATAATGCTCCACCACATCTTGCCAGAATTGTCACAGCTCGACTTCAGGAAGTCGGAGTGCCTCATATAGTATGGCCAGCACTGTCCCCTGACCTGAACCCCATAGAGCACGTCTGGGACCAGCTGAAGCAGAGACTGGATGATCGTAGCCCACCCCCACATAACCTGGTGGAACTGCATGTAGCACTGGTGGAAGAGTGGAACACATTGCCTCAGAACAACATCATGAGGCTAGTGAGGAGCATGAGACGTCGCTGTCAAGCTGACATTGCGGCAAAAGGTGGAAACACCCGCTACTGACATTGTTAATTTTTGTTACTTGGGGCTATCCTTTTTATTGTCAAAATTTTGGGGGTAATAAATAGACTAATGAAAATGGTGTTTCTTCTCATTCATTCTTAGTAATATCAAAGGGAACTTTTACTTATTTCATAAAAATTCAGACCAAATAGGAAATGCACTCATGTAAATAACAATATCCCTAACTTATTGTGAGTAGTGTAAATATTCTGATACACATAATAAACAATACATTTTTATTTCATTGCTACTTGGCGAGGGTCACTACAGGCACGCCACTTCACGTCATTTCACACTATAGCAGCCATAGATCTACTAAAATAACTCTTTTAATTAATAACTATTAAAATAACTTAAACAACATTTAAAAAATTAGTATCACTTTGCGATACAAATATGCCCTTAGCAAGCTTCTGGAACTCGGGCCTAAAACATGTTTAAATGACAGACGGCATGAGTCAAATTTTATGTTTTAATCAAATTGTTGTGGCACTGTTGTAACACTTTCAAGTTATTCCTGAATACAAAATCACACATAAATTGTCACACATGCTCACACTTCTTTCTCTCCCTGTCACTCAAACACACATTAAAATTCACAATGTCCTGAATACGTTGATGACATAGACATAAGGAAATAAAAACAAAATATGGTACAGAGACTGTTTTTATCTAAAAGTTTAAAGGTGCATTGTACAACTTTTCTGGTGGAGGGTTCACTACTTGTCTCCACGGAGATGTTATTGCTTTTCCTGGAATGTTCCATGGTATGACATTGAACATATCCATCAATCATTTATTCATTAACAGTGTTTCTATTACTCAAAAATATATTCATTCCTTCTGTAAATAGAGACGACTCTCCACAGGTCTGAACTGTAAAGTAGCAGCGCTGTAATCTGTTTGTCTCATGATAGATCTAATCTACTGTGGAACATTCTAGACAAAACAATAACACTTCCATGGAGACAAGTGGATGCTCTTCTAGAAATGTTACTCAGTGCATCTTTAAACAAACAATCTGACAATAAAATAAAATAAAAAATAATCTAAGTAACAGTCCATTTGTTTGTGTCAACAAGAGTGGTAACATAAAAAGATCTCCCCAGAGACATCTACAGAAAACTGTCTGAGTGCAAGATCATGACATAGATGCCCTGTTTTGATTTATTTAACATATATTTGTGCTATTTTAAAACACAACATGCAAAAAGAGGTAATTCAAAACCATTCACAACATTTAAGGTGACATCAATAATTCCATCCTTAAAGGTGCACTATGTAACTTTTTGGTTGGCAGTCCATTACCTGCTTGTTTCTATGAAAATGTCATTGGTCTGTCTGGAATGTTCGACTGTATAACATTAAACAGCTCCACCTTACATTTATTCAATAATTGGCACGGGTGGATTGGCAATGTGTGGGTTATGGAAAAGTGCAGAACAGCTGCCGGCCGTACTAACAGCAGAAGGCACTAATATGATAATAATAACCCTCCCTTCCTCAGTTTCCACCGTGGGCCAATTTGTGGGGAAAAGTCCAAGGCCGTTTGTCGGTCCCTGATAACAGGTGGTTTTACAGCTTAAAAATACCTAGAAAAACAGACATTATCATTGTGAGCAGGGTTTGCCTCTCCACAGATCTGACATTTGTCTTGGTCTAGATTGGTCTCAATGAAGATAGAAAGGTTTAATGAAAACATTCCAGACAAATCAATGATATTTCCTTGAATAAAAGTATTTAACAGACCCTCCACCAGAAAAGTTACATAATGCACCTTTAAACAGTCTTCCTAAACTCTTTTTAATCCTTTTGTTTGTTCATTTGATTTTCATCAGTGTTCCAACCTTGACCCCATAACACAAAATAAAAAAGTCTAAAAATCCTCATAACTCGTCATGTGCAGCCTCATCTGCTTTTAGTTTGAACTCGTTTTCCGTAATCTTCCCATCTCCGTTGCGATCCTGGTTGGAGAACATGTTGTCAATGATCCGGTAAGGGTCAAAACCAGGGGCCAAACGTCCTTTGCCCTCTGTCACCTGACGCATGATATAATCCGTAAACTGGATAAATACACAAACAAACAACACGTGTTTAGAACTTCAGATTCTCACCTCTTTCAGAAAAGGTATAATAAAGAGCATATATTATGTTTTTTGGAGAGGTATTTAGGATGAAACTATGACATACATTAATCATTATTTTACATTTTGTCCATTGTAAACATGCTTTTCTGTGAAGCTGATAGGTCCTGCCTCTTCATAGTGGCATTTCACTATAACAAGATATTTTCTAACCCCACATTTATGTGCCGGACTCCAAGTTTTTTGAATAATCACATCTACAGAGCTGTGGGCCAGGATGGTGGGTAGCTGAATATGGGAAGCACTCAAGCCTTAAATGCAGGACAATGCAGGAGTACTCTAACATGCATGGAACTAATGATGAGGGAACACTGTTAAAACATGTTTAAAAATATATGAAAATCAAAGTAAGGTTATAGAGAATTGTTAGAACGGGGTTTGGTATAAGAGGGACTTCTAGGAGTTAGTGGTGTGAGGTATGGTCGTGCTCCTAAACACCAGTTAAAATATGAAATATGTAATATATAAATTGATTTAGTTATGCACCTCAGAAGATTCCACTTGTCCGTTTTCATCCTTATCCATCTCGGAGAATAGATCCGGAGACACCTCCTCATTCCAGATAAACATGTAACCCTCAGGCAGTCCCTCTTCATATTCCACCAGTTCAATGTCAAATACCAGCACTGCACTGCCAGGCACTTCGTTTGCTGGGAATGGTACAACATAGATAGCACTATATTATTACCAATTGTGATGCTTTGGTAGAGCAGTAAGAAATGCTAAATAATTTTGGTCAATGCATGTGTGCATGCACACCTGTTTTTCACCATTACATAAACAATGGACTGCTGCATTTTGCATTTTATAAAAGCTACAATTAAGCCAGACAAAGATTTTTTCAAAATCTAGCATGCTGCTTTTTACATTTAGATTTTTCTTGTAGATATTGCTAGAGAAGAACAGAATCACTAATGTTATTGGGTCCAGCTGCATTCTATACTACTACAGGCTTGCCTGAACAATTTGACCACCGTTTTAATACACAATTGCATTAGTTATTCTGTGAACTGATGAGTAGAGATCGACTGTTTTTCATGTCCTTGTTTAACATGGCATTGTTTAGAATCCAGAGAAACCACTGGCCAATAAACTCTGCTGAAACCTTTGGGCCGATTTGGATTATTTTCCCCAAATTATATGATTTGAAATGATTCACCCACAACCCTCAACCTACAAAGTGGATATGAGAGCAGTGTAGTCATATTTTGTGCAGTGTCCTCTTCACACTAAAGTGTTTAAATTAAGCATTAGGTATTCTTCAGGCATCTGATAGGCAACAAATTGGAAAGTGTGAATATCTTGCCCAGTATATATAGTGGCCAACCAGTATATAAGTCTGTGACCACCATTAATTCACCAGGTGTGCATTTGTGTAAATCTCCCTTCATTTCATTTCATGAGTTGTAATTGATAACTAAATGTGTATGTTGCATTAGCTAAGCCTTCAAGACTTACTGACACCCCTCTCTCCATAGCCAAGATGAGGAGGAATAACAAGATGTCTCCTCTCCCCCACACACATTCCGATCAGTCCGTCCTCCATGCCTGGTACAACCTGGTTAGCTCCAAGGACAATGTTGTATGTCTTGCCATAGTTATACCTACAGGACACATTGGAGAATGTTATTTTGTTATATATTATCACACTATAGTGTCAGAATTCTTTTGAATGAACATTACGTTTGACATTTAGCATCTTAAAATCTCCATTTGTTTAAAAGTAACTGTAAAGTCTCTGTGACTTCACAAGACAATCCCAGTTGCTATTGTTAAAAAGGCCTTGTATTTTTGGCATTCTATCAATGTGTACATCATGCATAAAAAGCAAACAAGCTAACCACTGATATAGGAAAAGGAAGTGCATATGCATCACTTCACAGCAGCTGCAGAACTTACGTAGAGTCAATTGATGAACCATCCATTAAACTGGCATTGTAGTGATATTTAACAAAATCTCCTTTCTTGGTTTCCCTGTCGCACTCTTCTGGTTTGTATGTGACCGTGACATCAGTGTTGTCAGAGGGGTTGTGGAAGTCAATGATAAGAACATCAAAGACCAGTACCGCAGAGCCAGGAATCTTAGAGCCTGTGCAAAAGTGCAAATAATACAAATAAATGACATGCACCCTAAGCCACAACACAAGTATTGGGATATTTCTTTAGAAAGGTCACAATAAGGACGAATATATATATATATATATATATATATATATATATATATATATATATATATATATATATATAATATATATATATATATATAGATATATATATAGATAGATAGATAGATAGATAGATATAGATATATAGATATATATAAGTGCTGGTTAAGCAACAAAGCTATGGTGGTGGATGTTGCAATACTGTTGGAATGATTGTGATTATTTTATCATTGCTAAATGTTTCAATCATCTGCTCTTTAGAATACTGTAACTTTAAGCTTATTGTTTCACCTCTCTAAAGTATTATTTTGAGCAAGACTGCATGTTCTGTATACATTTATTTATATGTGTTTTCAAGAGAGACTGAGAAGGCAGAGAGTGGAAGACATGGGTCCTATCTCTCCTTGCAGTGCAACTGCATATTCTGTGGCTTCTTCACTTAGTTTATTTGTTTTAACAAATGTCTGACCCTGACAAATACCAAGCGATGGCAATATCAGAAAAAAGGAACACGAGAAACTAGAGAAATACCAGGGGCTTAAGAAAGAACTGAAGAAGGCCTGGAAGGTGAAGGCATCAGTGGTGCTTGTGGTGATCGGAGCACTCAGGGCTGTAACCCCCAAACTGGAGGAGAGGCTACAGCAGATACCGGTAAAAACATCAGCCATCTCAGTCCACAAAAGTGCAGTACTAGGAACAGCAAAGATACTGTGCAGAACTCTCAAGACACAGATTCCTAGCTTCTTGGCATCCTAGTGGTTAGAGAGGGGAGAGACTTCAGCATCCTAACAGTCTGGTGAATGAAGCTGTTAGTGAGTCTGGTGGTGCGGAAATGGAGCCTCCTGTACCTCATCCTGGAGGGCAGGAGTGCGGGGTGGCTTGCATCACTCACAATTGGGATGGCTTTGTGGGTGATGCGGGTGGAGTATATGACTTGCAGTGAGGGGAGTGGTGCACCAATGATCTTCCAGGCTGTGTGGGTTGGCCTCCCTGGAAGTTGACAACAATCTCAGCTGGAGGTTGTTGTCTCTGCACCATGCGGTCAGAAGGTCTACCTCTTTCCTGTAGTGAGTCTTGCTCCCTTGGTGATGAGATGCACCAGAATTGTGTTGTCCGCGAACTTCACAACGTGGTTGGTGCTGTGAAGAGCAGACGACTGTGGTCTCTGGCTGAGGAAGTCTAGCAGCCCAAACCCAGTTTGTCAAGTTTGCCAATGAGTTGTTGTGGTATTATGGTGTTGAATGCTGAACTGAAGTCTATGAACAGCATTCTCACATATAAGCCTTTATTGTCCAGAAGGGTGAGGGCTGGATGGAGGGCAGGGCAGATTGCATCCTCTGTGGAACGTTTGGCTCTGTATGCCAACTGTACGGGGTCCACGATATATAATATATATAAAATCATATCAATTTGCAAGTGGCACCAACAAGTCAACACTGATCCAATTCTCTGAGGGGGCTTTAAAACGGCTTTAATGGCAGCTCCAAGTACCACCCAAAGAGCGATCCACCTGTCAACTTCTGGAATAAGGTGAATACGGTCATGGTAAAAATAATAGCGGCCCCAATGAGAAAATGGAAATACATTATACAGTGGAGACTGCACAAGCATAAATGTGAATCATAAACAAGAAAGTGTACTTGTGTCTCAATAGATTTAAGCTTGTGCATATGCATACCTGTGCCTTCCTCTCCATAGGCCAGATGTGGTGGGAGTGATGGTGCGCTTTTCTCCGACACAGACACCAATAAGGCCTTCATCCATGCCAGCAATCACATAGCCGCGACCCACATATGTATCATAGGTGCGATTGCGTGAGTAGCTGTTGAAAAATCATTTAAATTATAAGATGTCACAGTTAAAATCATGCAAGAAATAAAAGTTATTGTAAGTTTTTGTTCTGTGCAAGCAGACTAAGGTCTTCCTTATCTTGTCCTTGGCGCTTTGACATAATACATACTTTGTAGAAATGCCCACATTCTTTTATGGAGGAAAATTATCAACATGTCTTTCCTGATCATGGCAAATTTATAATTAGATGGATTTTCCTCTCGATACACCACTCATTTTGAGTTGTTATTGTTTTCTTCTCAATAAAGCATAAAAAAATCATACATCATCACATTAAGGCTGTGTTTTCATTGTTTGTTCAGAATCCACCTACTACAAAATGCTAAATACAGTGCACCGAGCTTGCCTAGAGTACAGTCCCCTGACCAATAGCCATTCTAAACATAAAGTTTTTTTACTAGACTGAAAACTCACCTCTTCTCCCTGGCATATAATACTAGCTAGACAGGATATCTCAGTAATTTACTATAATTTTTACATGTATTGTGTTATCTATATAGCTGTTTCTTATGTTTTGTTGATTTTTATGTGAAGCACTTTGGTCAGCTGAAGTTGTTTTAAATGTACTATATAAATAAACTTTTTCTCCAAAAAAGAACAGTTGATGGTTAGTGCAATACTGCCATATTATGGTAACATAAGGTATAACATTGAACAAACCTACAGTTAGTATTAAGAAAGAAAGTAATAAAATGATACAAAAAAATTGAATGTACCTTGAGTCAAAGAATGTCCCGTCAAGGAGGCTGCCATTGTAATGGTAACGCACAAAGTCACCAGCAACTGTCTGTCTGGTGCAAGGTTCAGGAACCTGCTGATTGGTCACTGTGATCCCATCTCTAGGGTTGTGAAGGTCCAGCAAAACCACATCAAATACAAGAGAGGCCTGTCCTGGGATGTCACTGCCTGAGAAATAAATATAAATTTTTAAAATGTGTATGTTGATTTCAGACAAATTTGTTTTCATTGCGCAAACTTAGTCCTATACTGCCCTCTTTAGAATGATGTACAGAATTGCACCACAATGATAAGAAACTGATTTGGTAACATGAGAAAATGCAAATCAGTGTTTACCATCTCCATTCTCTCCATATCCAAGGGAGGGGGGCATAGTAATGATTCGTTTTTCCCCAACACACATTCCCAGCAGCCCCTGGTCCATGCCTGCAATCAGCCAGCCAATTCCCACATAGGTGTCGTAAGTACGCATCCGAGTATGGCTACAAGAAAAAGCAAAGCAAAGAAAGATCAATGTAAATCAGGATGAATTTATTAGATTGAAAATTTGTGGCAATAAAAACCTGGAGTCAAAGAGAGTTCCATCCAAAAGAGTTCCATTGTAGTGGTAGCGCACAAAGTCAGACACTTCTACTTTTCTGGAGCAGGTGGGTGGGGTGTAGTAGGTGTTGATTTGAACTCCATCTTCAGGGTTCCACACATCCAACAGCAGGACATCAAAATGAAGAATAGAGTCCGGAGGGATAATGTCGCCTGTAGAGAAATAAAACATTTTACCATTAACCACTTTTAAAGAACTTGAGTAGGGTGAAATGTAACAGAAAACCCTATGTCCTGTCAATCATCATATCATCTTTGCACAGTTTTTTTATGACCTCTTGTCTATTGCTGAGATATTTTTATTACTTATTTTTATTTTATTTTATTTTTATTTGTACATATACATTTATAAAATTATGCCTTATTTGACACCAGCCTCTTGCTATTGTTGCAATTTATTTATTTAGAATTTATCAAATATTTTACATTTTTTTATTTAGAAAATATTCAAAAGTATTCAAGATGACTAAGAAAGTAATCATTTAAAAAAAAAAAAGAAGAAGAAAATAAAGCTAGTGAGCAATACCAGTGTTTTTGTTTACTGATCTGATTCCTATACCAATGAGTTTTGTAATAAAATACAATTGAATCTCCTCTCTGCTATAAAGAATTTCACCAAATTTTATAGAGGCTATCACTATTTTTGCTCCACTGCTGCTTGAACTGGTTTACAAATTAAATATATGTGCAAATAAAGTAAAACATAAACCAGATATTTCAGAAATCCTTTTAAATATGATTTACAAATTCACAAAAACAGAACAAAAAATTAAGAATTTTTAGATATCTGCCATTTTTGAACAAGAATCAGTACTAAAAAATAGCTGTATTAGAGTGCTGCACTGGATCAAAACTTATAAATGCAGGTGCTTATTAGACCAGGGGGTTTGAGTAGAGATAAAGAAGCATGGTAGAGGCACGATGATTTGGAGATTGTATTTATTGGTGGTCACACCAACATGTTTGCATTACTTTACAAGTAAGAAGTAAGAAGAAGAAGTAAGAAGAATAAGAATCAATACTTTCAATACTTTCAGTACCCTATTGGTACATGACTTGATATTATACATTATATTTCTTAAAGCAAATCTTAATTTGTCTTTACCCTACAAGTATGTAGTTTAATAACTGATTTAGTAATTATGTTTAAATGGTTGTTATCAATCCTGTATCAATCAAGACATTTTTAGAATCTGCATGTTCACCACCCTGTAACTGTGTTCAGCCTCCTAGACATATGGCTGAAAATCTAAAATTTCAATGGTGTGACCAATGTTCCTAACTACACTGCCATCAGATTATAATAACTGTTTTACCTGGCTTGGAATGGAAGGGGGGCATTATTTTTTTTCTTACTAGTTTTGTAGACTACATGTATATAGAGTGTAGTGTAATGTCATAAAGCTCGTTTTACCATATCCCTGTTTGCCATAGGCCAGGTGAGGGGGAATCTTGACCAGTCTTCGCTCGTTGACACACATCCCCACCAGAGCTTTGTCCATCCCCTCAATCAGCTGCTTTTTACCGACATACATTGTAAGTGCTGCCTCGATCATAGCTACATGAAATAAACAACATCAGGGTGAATTTTAAAAATCCTCACACAAAATATTTAAATGATTTGTTGATTCTGCACATGCTTTAAGCATATTTGTCACGACTATGCTCACCTGTCCACTATTAGAAAATCATATAAGATATATTCAGTATAAATCTACATATGTATTATAATATTAACCTAAAATGTAATTTACTGCTGAAAAAGTACACATACAAAGATCATGGTATACTGTCTGTTAAATAATAATTGATGAGAAATGGTAAATAAAATCAAACTAAAATGTATTCACCAAATAAAGTTAAAAATATTATCAAGGTTTTAAGGTGAATCATGGGTTTGGGTGGCTCATTTAAAGTGGTAGGTAGCTACAGCCTATACATCCCATAGCTTCTTCTTGCCTGCGTGGCTTGCAGGGACCATCCTCTTCATGGGCACTTTTACGCATTACGCACAGAGTTAGTTAACTTAGTTAACTTAACTGCCCTTACTTAAGTTCAGCTCCTCGGAAGTGAAATGGACTTAATGTTATAAAAAGGTATAAAGACGTGTACAAACCTGGAGTCAAATTTCGTGCCATCAGGAAACATGCCGATGTAGTGATATCTGACATAATCACCCACTTTGACTGCGCGCACGCACTGCTCCGGCACGAAGGTTCTTTCAATGAAGATATCGTCTAACGGGATGTGGGGAGCATCGCAGGCGGCAAATGCAACCAGAAATGCAAGGCAGAGCGCCCATTGCACGCAGTAAATCATGTTCTTAAAGATTATTAAACTCGGATCTCAAATGTTAGTCTTCAAGATGTGTGTCGCGTCCTCTTCGTCTCCCGGTATCCTGCCTTCCTCTACTTCACCAGTGAAGTCCTGCCCAAAGTCCCGGGGCAGGGATGAACACGTGTCAAGTTACGCAAATAAAATCAACTTCCTGTTAAGACTTTAAAGTTTGACTTGTAACAAATATAATTTATTTTCCTATCGAAATTTTAGTTGGTTGTTTTGTTTTAATTTGGTCTCATATATTTTCCCCAGTAAGAGTAAAATGGATTTGCCAGTTGTAGGTTTTGCTTTAATCTATGGCTTAATCTATTAGTTTATTCAATTCAAATTTGCTCTATTAAAATGTTGCAATGGAGGTTAGTGTAGTCTATTATGGGCACGTCTACCTGGTAAAAAACAAACAAAACAAAACAAAAACGACTAACTATTTAGATCCATGCAAGTTGGAGTCTGTAGCTATTATTAAGAATGGGCTACAGGAAAGTTAGACTACTTATTCTGAAGTTTAGTTTTCTTTGTCCTGTTACAGCGTTTGCACTAACAGTTAACTTGACATTCTTTGGTGTTCAATGGGATAGTTGGGGGCACCACGTATTGCTCCTGCGCAGTGCGGCGTCTGTGATGTGTCAACGTGGTAGTGTGGGGTCCCTAAAACGCTACACTCACTGTAATAGGCTCACGCCCCCTTCGTCGTTTTACTTGCTAAACATCACAAACATTAGGTTTAAGCAGAGGCGAAATAAAGGCGCACTGGCCTGTATAAGATTATAAGATAAGTGTGGGATTTTAGATAAGATTTGTTTACCGGCCTGTAATTGCCTCAGGCTCCCAAATGTTTCTACGTGGCAGACAGCGTTAAGGGGGCGGGGCACAATTCTCACCAGGGGTCTAATTGGTGATTTGAACGAAAAGTGTCAACCTAAACTACATTTATGACAATGTAATAAGTGATTTGTAAGCTTTTTATTTTTCCTTTTATTTGCGAAAAGAAACTTAGATTTTAAGTTACTTTTTTCAGACTTGAATGTAAAAAGCCGAACTGATTTAGACTGCTTTTGTAATTTTTTTTTTATGGGAGGGGCTGTTAAAGCCGCTACTTCTGCCTGTTGCTGCCGGGGGAGGGGAGCCTTTGTCCGGATACGTGATGGAACTTAAGGCCTTCCTACAACCTCACGCCTAGCTTCTCCCCAAGCTTCACTGAAGTCCCTCGTAACTTCCAACTCTAAACATGGCATCCACTAGTTCTTCACAGCTTTTAACCACACTTCTATTGGCGTTTTTACTTGCGGGAGTTCATTCTCAATACGAAAAGTACAGCTTTAGGAGTTTCCCCAGGCAGGAGCTGATGCCATTGGAGTCCGCATACAAGTACGCACTGGACCAGTACACGGGGGAGAAGTGGAAGGAGACCGTGGAGTATATCGAGGTCTCTCTGAGGCTTTACCGACTTCTGAGGGACAGCGAGGCCTTCTGTAACCTCAACTGCAGCTCCGTTAGACTGGACGACGAAGAAAAGTTTGCGGAATTCCCAGAACTGCGCTCTTTTGGGAACGTCATGAAAAGGGCGCAGTGCTTGAAGAGGTGCAAGCAAGGGCTACCTGCCTTCAGACAAACTATGCCCAGTCGAGAAACCATAGAGGAATTTGAAAGAAGGGAGCCGTATAGATATCTGCAGTATGCGTACTTTAAAGTAAGTAGATTTATTTAATAGGGCCCATATTGGAGTTGACCACAAATGAAAGGATTTCAGTTGTCGCTTATGATAGGCTAATTATACAGGTTTAAGGATGAATTCAGGAAATAGTCTACTTTAACTTCTAGATGAATCCCACACTTGCCTGGATACCAGAACTCAACTATTTAATGTCAATCAGCGTGAACTACTGTGCGCAATGACGCAATGTACGTGCCACGGTGCACAGGGGCAGCTGTTGTCTCATAGGCCTATAAGTCAATTGTCCATAAAATCTAAGTGGATGTCAACTAAATAGACTAAATAATTATAACAGACTGTATTGTAGTGTAATTAATAAATACCAACATAAACTGTATTGTTTTTTAGATTAAGTATTTCACTAATAAATTAATATTGGTGTTACCCTTCAAACATGGTGGATGTAGGCTACATACAGGGTAATTTACTTAATGCACAATTTGCGTTCTTATATTACAGTCTGACAACCTGGCCAAGGCAGTGTCTGCAGCCCACACATTCCTCCTAAAACATCCAGATGATGAGATGATGCAAAGAAACATGGCCTACTACAAGAGCCTGCCTGGAGCCGAGGAGCATCTAAAAGATCTTGAAAGCAAATCCTATGAGGTGAAGGGACATAGGCTGATTTAATATATTCTTTAATGCATACCGCCATAGTGTATATATACAGTTCCTGACAAAAGTCTTGTCGCTTATCCATTTTGTAGAAACAAAAGCTTATAACCTGACTTTAAATTAATCGATTGGTTTTAGAAATGTCTCATATGAAAGCTAAAACCCTCCCAAATTATGCTCAATATACTAAAATAAATTTGCTTCACTGAAGAAAGATTGATCTTTTAATGAACACAGAAAGGTCAGATTTTGGCAAGACAAAAGTTTTGTCGCCTACAGAAAATTGAACAAATAATTTACTTCAAATACAAAAATATGTATAGTGAATTAAGTAGTGGTGCTGTGAGATCCATATTTAATATCTTGTATGACTTCCATGAGCTTGAAGGACTGCATCCATGTGGTTCGACAATGATTCATACAATTTGTTGATGAAGTCATCAGGAATAGCAAAGAAAGCATCTTACATGCCTCCCAGAGTTCATCAAGATTCTTTGGTTTTGCCTTCCATGCTTCCTTTTTCATTCTACCCCAGACATGCTCAGTGATGTTCATGTCTGGTGACTGGGCTGGCCAGTCCTGGAGCACCTTGATCTTCTTCGCCTTGAGAAACTTTGACGTAGAGATAGAAGTATGTGATGGAGCACCATCCTGCTGCAAAATTTGACCCCTTTTATGGTTGGGAATGTAAGAGGTAGCTAATACTTCTTGATATTTTAGGCTATTGATATTGCCTTCCACCCTGCAAATGTCTCGCACACCCCCATACTGGATGTAACCCCAGACCATGATTTTTCCGCCACCAAACTTAACTGTTTTCTGGGTGAATCTCGGATCCATCTGGGCTCCAGTAGGTCTCCTGCAATATTTGTGGTGGCTGTGATGTAATTCAACCGAGGATTCATCTGAGAAATCCACCTTCTGCCACTTTTCCAGTGTCCATCATTTTAGCAGGCTGTGGGCCTTGGCAAATGCCACACGTTTTTTTAATTGCCTTTTGTTTAGTGCTGGTTTCTGTGCACTGATTCGACCATGGAGGCCATTTCGAGACAGAATTCTACAAACTGTTGTGGTTGACACAGGGACTTGAGGTGACCAGGCCTGGTGGAGCTCTGCTGCATTGGAAAAGGGGCTGGCCTTGGATTTTCGAATCAACAAACAGTCCTCCTGAGCAGTTGTCTTGCGGGGTCTGCTGGACCTGGGCTTGTCAAAAACATCTCCAGTCATTTCAGATCTTTACCTTATTCTTTGTACTTGATGCTGAGACACCTTCAGCCTCTTGATAATTAATGCTTTGGTCTCGGGGTGGATCTTAGGCATGTTGTCAGAGGTCAAGTTGCAGTTGATGTGAAGGTCTAGTGTGCTGGGGTTCTTTTTATACACACCCACTAATTGATTGATCAGTAACTGATCATGGGTGAGGCTGTAATCTAGGATTGGGTGCATCATATGACAAGGCGACAAGACTTTTGTCTTGCCAAAATCTGACCTTTCTGTGTTCATTAAATGATCAATCTTTCTTCAGTGAAGCAAATTTATTTTAGTATATTGAGCATAATTTGGGAGGGTTTTAGCTTTCATATGAGACATTTCTAAAACCAATCGATTAATTTAAAGTCAGATTATAAGATTTTGTTTCTACAAAATGGATAAGCGACAAGACCTTTGTCAGGGACTGTACCTGTCATGATAACAAATTTGATATGCAAAGTATTGCTAAAGAAAATATAGACTATAAACAACAATATTGAAACTATCTTATGCCACTGACACAATAACCTTAAAGCAGGATTACTCCCCAAAAAACTAACCATGAGTTGCAATCAATAAATGGTAGAAAGAAACACTTTAGTACTTACTCTGCATTTGTAATGAGTCATAGAAGTAACATATTCAACCTTTTACAGCTCAAATCTTATCATATAGCCAAAAAAGAACCAAAATAATCCCAGTACTGCAAATAAAATGTGCACACAATAAATACTGACCCAGAAAAATATAGTTTCAGCTTTCTTTATATTCTTTATATTCTTTCTCTTTCTTTATATTGAACCATAAGTCAATATAGTAATAAACGTGACATGCCTAAGTGTATATCACAGCAACACTGAAATGTTGTGTGTTGTTTTTTTTAGACACTATTTGTACGGGCAGTGAGAGCTTATAATGGAGATAATTTCCGTACTTCAGTGTCAGACATGGAATTAGCACTTAGGGATTATTTTAAAGTCTATGACGAGTGCCTGGCTGCTTCTGAGGGACCAAGAGATGTCAAAGACTTTAAAGACTTCTATCCCTCTATAGCTGGTCGGTATCCATCATTACTCTTTTAAATGTGCCTTCTATTGTATGGTAAATATTTTCTTTCTTTATTTTCCTGACAGATCACTATATCGAGGTCCTGGAACGAAAAGTTAAATGTGAAAATGATCTTACACCTGTTGTGGGAGGATTTGTTGTAGAAAAGTTTGTAGCCACAATGTATCACTACTTGCAGTTTGCCTATTACAAATGTAAGTGTCACATTCATCTGGATAAAAATGTTGTCTTCAGTAGAAAATAAACCCTTTATTTTTTCTCTCTCATAGTGAAGGACTTGAAGAATGCAGTGCCATGTGCAGCCAGCTACTTACTATTTGATCCCAATGATGAGGTTATGAAGAATAATGTAGCTTATTACCAGTATCACAAAAAGCAATGGGACCTGACAGAAGAGGATTTCCTTCCCAGATCAGTAAGAAATATTGATGACTTTTACACCAGCTACTGAAGTAACTGCTTGTCCACTCAAGTTAATGGGAAGTAGTATCGATCTCCTCATAAAATGTTAAACTCCAAATGGGAGTTAATATAGTTCCCATGGTGTAACCAAAGTTCTTTAATTAATGGGAATACACTGAGTGGAAGTGATTTAAGCGTTACAGTAGGGTTTCAGCCTATATTTTAATGATAATAAAATAATAGATGGCCTACTTCAAATACTTACTTTAGTTAAGTGTAGATAAAGTGTAGAGGTTTGCTTATATGTATACTGCCCTGCTCCTTCCTAAACCTGCTCATGCTACTGATGGTAATATACAACTTGTGATTTTATTGCTACTGCAAATATTATTGACTTAAAAAAATATTCACTAAGTACCTCTTCTGGTGGCAGGTACAGCACCTGCTTTGCCCCATAATGGTGTCATGGCTTTGCCTGAAATCATTCATAATATGGCATTATGCAGCTACCACTATGAAGACAAGCAAGTAATGCCACCTGGCACCCTGCCAAATTACAGGTCAAATTTGTGGAGAGGCAAGCCCAGTCACCGCAATTCCTTGCAGACAAAGCCAGCCTACCAGAAAAGTTACATCACACCTTTAAACACTGGAAAATTTCTGTCGTTTAGGAGGCAGTGCGGTACCACAATCAGACAACTCTGCAGTTTCAGATGCTGGACTTTGCCAGGCTGCACCTGATGAGTGATGACGAGGTGGGTTTGTGCTTTTATACTCGTGTGGATTGGTATAATGTTTTTAAATAAGTCTGTAAATTAGCAATAGGCTCTAAGCCTGTAATACACCTCCATTGTTTCCCTGGGACACATGTGCCTTAAACAATTAAGGCCCTGTCCTTATAATCTGAACATTAATTTCAGACATCCAGGAGGGGGCAGCATGACACCTGCAGTTGGTGGCACTATAGCACTGCAGCAAAACTACAGAGCTCCAGGGCAATATAAAATAGAAAAACTGCACATGCTGTTTAACCGTTACCCTTTCAGTCTGAGGAATATGACTATAAGAAAGATGGTGCCTCCTGCCTTAAGACTGTTTGTAAATGTTTGTTTCTACGTGTGCATTCACAGGGGGAGATTGTGGAATTTATTGACGAATTTCTGGATGAGGATGAATAGCCGAACGGCTAAAAACCAAAAAACCCAAATACCAAAGCAGTCACTCCACAGCATGTATTTATTTTTGTTAGAAGCACTGATTGGCCACTACAGAAACAAGTTATAAATCATCTCCTGGGCCTTACTTCATACAAAGAATTCAAGCTGACATTGTATGTGTATGTATGTACGTTTTTACAGTAAAAGTATGTAAAATGTCTCGTGTCATTTTTATTGTATATGTTGTCTTTATAAATCAATACAAAGATAAAAATTTTATCACAGGAGGAGTCTTTTACCTGATCTAAGAGGGACACTTGGGGAAACACTCAGTTGTTTAATGTTTGAACATTGAGAGTCTGTGCAGTTTGTCACACATTGATGCTGAAATACTGCAAAGGGGATCATTTTCATTCTATCAGTCTCTCAGGCATCCTCACTACTCCATTTACTCCATTATTACTTGTTGTCAGCTTCCACCAGTAGTTTAAATGTTGTTGATCTTTTTTCTAAACAACATCTGAAAATTATATTGCAGAAGATATGATTCATTGCTATAAGCTTTCAAATATAAAATAATATTGTTTAAAAATCATGTGTATTTTAGACATTTCTTTTTGTATACTGAGTTGTTAAGATTGTCCAGATACCTTCTGAATACACTGAAAGCATATGAAAACTTGAATTGGTTTACTTCCACACAAATTTTTCACACAAATCAGATATTCAAGACTAAAGTTACACATGCTTGTACAGTTTTGTGTCGGTAAGGAAAAATAAAACAAGCAGAGGATGGTAAAAATGTACTGTACACCTTTTCAAAGCACCAGATAATAAAACAGTACCATTCAGTCTGTGAGACCTATGTAATTTGAAAGGAAAAACGCTGTAACTGCGTGAATCTGCATGCTCTATTCAAAACAAACAATTTATCCCTATACAGGAAAATACATAAGCATCACCATAACTATTATTTACATTGCACTTTGTTCATTATTAATAAATGCATTACATTATTCAAACTGACATTTTTAATTATACTACCATTCTTAATAAAAATTAATCTCACTTTCATATCTGTCTTGGCATTTCAAACTTGTATGGGGTTCATCTTTGTCATTTCATCTGTTCTTTTTATATAAACATATTTGACATTTGTTACTGCCTTCCCTGTGGTGAATCTGCAGTTTTGGGGCTAATTGCCGTACCAATTATCTCAGAACTGACATTGGACTCTCACTGCGTTGACCTGAAACATGCAAACACTCTCTTATAAATAGATGCACCAGGCCAAAAAACAAAAGCCTGGGCAGTAGAGGCCCTCTTCGTCTCTTTTCAAGACACTTCCTTGAGACTTCCCTAGAGGTTAATGCACCCAAACATTCGACAGGTTAGACCTCCAGCTAAGTAGTCCTGACTAACCTTAGACTAGAGATGTGTCTTTGGGCACTGCACAGCGGTCACCCAGTGCGCCTGACAAAGTGCCCCTGTGGCATTTAAAGATGGGTCAGAATTCCCCACAGGGACTATACAAATACATTGCCCTTTAACATCTATAAAAAATGATCCCATACTGTTTTTTTTTTCATCTGAACTGAAGAATTAGACAGCAAAACAACAAATTAAAAAGCAGTAAGAACACAAAAAGCACAAATGTATACATGTACAGTATTCTAACTGTTAACCTTGGATTTGAAGACATTCATTTTCTTGATCATTCAGAAGAGCGCTGCTGTAATGGTGTGATCTTTAACTTCAGTGAGAAAGAAGGATTCTTTTAATGTGACTGTATATTTTTCATACAATATCAGTCTGTTTTTTTGTTAATTTATTTGGACCCACAATATTTAAATAAGGACTAGTGTCAGTAGTGTCTTTGAATATTCCTAACCATTTAAAATGAGTCCATGTCTCCTCCGTGTGCTTAGACTTTCTGCTGCATCTCTATCTGTTGCCCTTGTCTCTTCTGACTTTGGCCTTTACCGTTCATTTCATACACAGAGCTTTTCTGCAGTTGCCGTCGGTAACACCACACTCCCATGATCACCGCTGCAGCTACAACACACACTGCTATAATAATGGCTGCCACTGTCGGACCTCTGCGCGATGAACTCGGCGGTCTGGGCGGACAGTTCTCGTCCGCACAAACTGCTTCCCCTTTCTCCCCCTCCACCTCATCCCTCTCGCCAGTTTGCCCCGGGAGGTTATCGATGGTGTGCTCCTCTACACCTTCATGCCCACCCAAGTCGTTCAAAGGTGGCACAGGGCCCTGATCTAGGTAAGGGTGCTCTGTGAGGTCACCATGCCAGAAGTTTGTGGGTGCTGCCTGTTGCGTGTCGTAGTCAACAGTGTCCGAAAGTGAATGATCGTCTGATGGATCTGGGTGGGCAGGAGGAGTCGTATCCTCTTTTCCCAGCTCATTTAACCCTATCTCTATATTTGGAAAACTTGTATTGAGAAAAGCATCAATTTCATTTGGGTTCTCTGTCACCTTAACTTCCTGCTCTTTTCCTGTTGTGGAGATGTCTTGCCCCACCTCTTTTTGCACAATTGGATACCCATCTAACCATGTGTCATCTGTGGTTGCTTTAGCTCCTGTTGCCTTCTGAGATACATTCTGTTTTCCACCATCTACCGTAAGAACCACATGTTGCCGACTATTGTCCTCGTAGCTGTCATTATCCTCTGGGTCATATGGCTCCTCTGTATCATCATGCTTGTCATGGTCCACTTGCTCCTGGGAGACATCTGTTTGTTCCTCTTTGTGGTCCTCATAACTTTCATGTTCATCATATGTCTGCTCTGGTCCATCATATTCCCGGCTGTCAAAGCGGACGCGAATATGGTCGTCTTCATGCTCTCCCATGTCATAGTGATCATCGTGGTGGTCAGGGTCATCATAGCGATCATGTCTGGAAATGTCCACATTGTGTTGAGTGGGAATGTAGATAGTCACATGATCGTCTTTCTCCTGGTGGCTGTCTAAGGTATCCTGCTCATGACTTCGGCTGTCATTATGATTTTCTAATGTCTCTACCTGACCTTCAAAGTTCACAGTTTGCTGCTGGCCCAGTTCTTTGCTTTCCTGCTCTTTGCTCTCATTTGATTGGACGGCTGTTGAGCTCTGAGTGGCAGAGTTTGTGGAGATTGGATGTCCATCGTGAAAGGCTTCAGACGGAAACCAGAACATGTGTTTTTGGGAGAGCAGTGACACAGGGGAGTGTGTAGCTGGTCTATCCTCAGTCCGGACCACTTCTGTCTTCTCCTGGCCCCAGCTTTGATTCACAATAAAATCTCCAACACCGCCTTCTTCAGCCTGTTCCTCCCCTAAAGGAGCATCATGCAGTTTCTTACTCAGATCAATGGACACCCCAGGTTCATCTAGTGCTGCTTGTTCATGTTGGTGTTCAGCTTCATCAACATTAAAGGCAATCTCTGTGTGCTCCTCAAAACCCTTGTCATTATGAAATATTGCATCCTGCAACTCTTGATACATCTGGCCTTGAGCCTCCTCTGGACTCTTGGGCTGTTTGTAGGAATCTGTAAACTGGTCTTCATAGTCAACGTGGCTCTCGGTGTCATCTGTCAAAATAAGACATATGTTTAATTGGACTAGTAGGGCTGCAACAACTCAAATAATTACAGGTGCATATTGATGGCAAACACATATGTGACTGATACACTTTTTTATGTGTACTCTTTGTGGCTGGCCAAAACCAGGAAAATGGAAAGTCTGCCCTTGGGAGTAAAACTTATTTTCAGTATAATGTAGACCACTAATGTTCCAAAGCAAATGATTAGTTGACTCCAGAGTTAAAACTTGATTAGGAACAGAAGAAAATCAAAATGAACGTGCTTTTTGGCCTTTACAGAACACTTGGATTCTTAATTCCTCTCTGTGAACTGGGACACACAGTGGCATGTCACACTGAAGTGCCATGGCAGCCATTTTGAACCCAGATCACAACTGAGACAGTGTTCCTCTAAATGATCGACTCAAGCCTCATGCACTTAACAACACAAGCTGCTAACAGACACGGTGGTGACTATTTTGACCTCAGCATGTTCCTGTCTAGTCTAGGTCAAAGTTCATAGCTTTGAAGTCAAGGAGGACAAGGAGACATTGTCATCTTGCCTTCACATTGTAAATAGACTATAAACATTTGATTTACCTTTTACACAAAGCTGAACAAGACCATACCACTCCCCACAGCTGTCACAAAGTAGACTGAAGGCACTATTTCCACTGGTCATCACGTAACCAGGCATGCAGGAGTACAGCAGCTCATCTCCCAGCTCAAATCCTGTGTGGCCCTGGAGGTGGGCATGAGGAAAGGAGGGTGGATCACCACATGGTTTACCTGAGAAAAAATGATGTGCAAAAAAATCAGTGTTTACTATTTTTCTGTATGTATTGGTCCAAATTGTCAGCTCCAGAGAGACAGAGCTGACCATCTGACCCTGTTCATAAACTATTTTCCTAAATCTAACATAAGCCTGTTCCTAACCTCAATCATATTCCTGTTCCTAGGGTTGGAACGAGTATCAATTTTCATAAAACAAGATGAGAAAAGTGATTGGGTCCATGATCTTTAAACAAGATGAGATTTTGACTTATTTTACAATAAATAAATTGATTCAGTGCACAACTGTGTCCCAACAGCTTCGTTTTGCTGTTATAATGGTCATGCCTTTTGGAACTATAGCTTCTTAAGAGGTGTAACTCAGTAAAGGTTACCCTTCTTTGTCCAAAGCAAATGTAAAAACAGAGGGAAAAAATTCTCACCAGATCATTTTCCTCACATGTGCACAATCTTCTGGCAATTTTATCACACGAGATTTTGTAGCACAGGATCTTGTCCCATCCCTATCTATTCCTGATACACTTCACTACACTACCAGTACCACTAGCCTTGTACATAAACATTTAATTGTAATGTTTGTCACAACAATATCAGAAGTCTAAGAAAAATATGTGGAATATATATTCTCAAAATAAATAGTATTTTGAGAATAAATAGTGAAACTGTAAAACAGTAAAAACATACAACAATATACTAACTAAACATATATTTGATTATGGATTATGTCAAATGGGTGAATTATTGAATAGTTTTTGTGTATACTCACCTTTGTCTTTGATACAAAAGGCATCTATGTTAGTGATGTCTTCTGTGACGTTTTCTGTTTTAACATCCACAGCTTTCAGTGCACTGCCCTCAACACTACACACTGTAGTCCTGGGGACACACAAGGTTTGCATTAAAAAAAAAAAAAAATATATATATATATATATATATATATATATATATATATATATATATATATATATATATATTTTTTTTTTTTTAGGAAAATTGTTTATGTAGGATATTTGATATATATATCAAATATCTGCTGTTCTTATAATATCATTTCTGTTATATGTGTTATGTCGAGAAAAAAAATAAAAATTCACAGGAAGTTAAGCAAATGTCTTAACACACACACATGAAATGCTGTGCCATGCTGTTTTTGGACAATGTAGCAAGTCAGTGTAAATATACGTCTAAATATATACTTCCTGTTCTGCCTCCCATCAGGAGATTACAAATATTATTACAACATGACATCACACACAGGAACCCCAAACATGGTCCACACCAGCTGCCGTATCAACTTGACCCTGATTATCGCACCATAACACAACAAAATAAATGTTCCCATGTGAAAGTACACAAGGACAATGTTTTAAATAGCTACTATTATAGAGTCTGTTCACGTTTAAGGGTTTCATCATAATTAGTCTACCTCCCTTGTAGTTTAAGCACAGTGAGTTCCCATGTGGTCCGACTCCAATCAAATTCATTAGGAAGTTAAAAGCTTTAATAAAGAAGCCATTAAAAATCAGATGTATTATAATAGTACCAGTAATAGTCTCAGCCATGCATCATTTAATGGGAAAGGCAAGTTGCAAAGATGTGTGTGTATTGGGGCAGCAAATTTTGAAAAAATTAAATAATATAAATAATCATAATCATAATAAATATATAAATCTATTGACATTGTGATTAGATTTGCAGTTACATTCCAAAAAGTGTTCATTTTATTCAGAGTGCACATTGTGAACAATTCTAGGAGCATTAAAGTTATCATTTTGCCTTGGAATAGTCCATTGTATGAGATTAAACATATCCATCTAGCATTTGCTCATTATGGGTGTTTCTATTGCTCAAAAATACCATAATTCCTTCTCTGAATAGGGGCGCCTCTCCACAGATCTGAACTGTAATGTAGCGTATAGTGCGTAGTGCTGTAACCTGCTTGTCTCCCTTGTGGTAGATAGGTTTAAAAAGAAAAGAATAGAAAAAACAATAACATTTCCATGGAGATAAGCAGGTGGCAGACTCTCCACTAGAAATGTTACATAGTGCGCCTTTAACCTTTGAGAGAAGACTTAAATGTGAAACTAGCTCAGTTTCATTTCAGACATGTCTGTGGAGGTCTAAAAAGGAAAGGGTTAGTAATAAAAGAGGATATTTTATTGTTTCCCCAGTGGACATTCTACTATCTAAATAATTACAGACCACAGTTAATCAAAGCATCAGTAATTTGATAGAATTTGTCTGCAGTGTGACTATGGGAAGCTTATGAGTCATGGAGCGTGTATGTGCCATGTTTATTTGACGTGAACTTATAAGGAAAACCATCTAAGCAGAAAAGAAGGAAATGGAACAATTAGGAAAAATATAAAGAAAACATTCAACTACAGACAATCACTGTTTCACATTTAACAGAAGCCTGACGTAACCAAGGCAGTTTGCACAAATAAAGTCCTTCAACCTGAGATGATCTGACGACATCATTGTGTTTGGTTGCCTGGGTAGCGTGTGTGAATGACAGGTAAGAGGAAAATGTGAAGATGCAAGAGTCAATCTGAGTGACACCTGTTATTATGAAGTGAAGTTAAGAATGATGTCACTGACTATACACACAGCACCTCCAAAACAAAGAATTCCCTCAGACAAGCAAATACAACCATTTATACTGAAATGGAAATAATTTTAAATAGCATAAACAGACAGGCATTACTGACAGCTAACAGCAAAAAATCTAAATGTAGGATCAGCAATGCTTCAAATTGTTAAATTCCAAAATACGGTGACAACATATTGTACTTTAATCAAATATTGACAAGTGAGGTCATTTCTATCTGACCTTTCTTCCTGAACATAGTTTTGGACGGACAGCGCCAGAGAGGACGGTAAATCTCTGTGAAAGATGATAAGATGGTGTGAAAGCTCATGTCCAGCACTGAGATCACTTTTGTGACAGTAACTGTTTCAGCCCAACATCCACTGAGACTAAACTGTAAGTGCATGGTCATGATAAATACCTGTGACTAATTCAACATTTTACCTTTGCAAAAGAGGTACAAAAAACTGCCTAACTTTGTACTCAGCCAAATGGGATATTACAGATTTCTTCGAGTGGGCTTTGAACCAGAAAGTAACCAGTAACAGAAGTACTAAGCACCATACTTTCCTCTATTGTTATTGCTAAAGCAGACCTATCAAACTGCCAATCACTTTTTCGCTGTATACCTGGCCTCAGTGTCTCATCACAGTCTGAGACGTGCACCATGTTGCCGTGGAGATAAGAAGTGTAAATGGAGGCAGTTGTCGACATGACACTCTGGCTCTGAATTCCCTCCTGCTCCATCACTGAACAGAGGGGCCATTCTCCTCCTTTCTCTGTCTTCTCTCCTAACATCCTCCTGTCTCCTTAATAGCCACTATAGACTGCTTGTACAATGTTAGTAGCACCATGTTGAAGACGGGATCCTTATTTGTTCTCTTCTGTGCTCTCATTATAAAAGGAGTCCAGGCTACCCTCAGTCCATGTTTAACATTATTTAATATTTTCATAGGAGCTTAAATAATGGATAAATAAATAGAACTTTTCTGTTGAATCTGATGTATTGTTATTCTTACCCCACTGTGCCCCCATACAGCCACCCACGGGTGCATGTTGAGAAAAAGCAGTCAGCCACAGCCTGGTGGAGCTCTGCTGCTGAGGCGAGACGAGCACGTTGTGAGGCACAGGCTCGCTCAGCGTCTCTGTGTCCCAGCAGGCCAGAGGAGTTCCTCAGCTCCAGAACAAACACACGACCTGTAGAAGAATAGAGGCTGTTTTACTGTGACAGAAGCACCAGAGCAGTCATGACGATGACAACTTCAACTAACTCTAGAGATATTTGTGAGATTTTTTTGTGCGGGCCCACAGGATGGGAATTACTAAAGTAAATATTTCACTGAATTGACATCTCAGACAAGGACAAAAAAACAAAAACATATAGGCCTATAGGAGCAGTAGTGCAGGATGTTTATGGCTGTAACAACAAATGAATTAGATTATATGTGCCCATAGCAATATTTAAAATGTCATTTGTCAGTGCCAGACATTCAACTTTAAAAATACATTTGATTCAATCAATGTATGTAGGCAAACTATGTAAACATTTAATATTTGTATTACTTCATTTTGCAGCCTAATTGGTTACTGCTGTTAAGTCGTTCTAATTACTGTCAATAGTTGGGATCAGGTTTACACACATTTCTAAGCAGCTAATTCATACCATTGTGTTAAGACACATCGCCCCTAGTGTTTTTGTAATAAAACACATAGGGATTAGACCTTAATAAAACAAGTGGAGGGTATAATGTGTAAAATGAACAATTTTGCTGGTCACCTCTAAGGTTAATTGTAATTCCCGCGAGACATTTGTCAAAGCGCTACAAGTAGTTAGCAGAGACATCAAAGGACATCATTTAGTTAAATGTGTTTGAAACAAACTGATTTACATGATTTACAGTTTGTTTGTTTATTTTAAAGTAAAAGAAAAGTACTCACCGTCTGCAATTACAAGTGGAGCCAACTGAAGGCAAGTGATGAATCCAAAGAGCCATAAAAACACGTTTTGGCTACAAAGCATCTTTGCTCTCAGTAGTTAACAAAATGTACAATAGGAAAAATCCTCGCTCTCTGGAGATTATAAATTATATCCTTTACGGCTTTTTCTTAAAGTGCAAAGTTTGGAGTGAGAAGAGCAACTCTTTTAGCCTATTCCAGGTGTGGCTGAAGTTAATAAGTGCGAGAATAACACAAAAATCCTGAAGCTAGTACAGCTTGAGCGCTGGGCGCAGTTTATCTTCCCAAATACTCGCCCTCTCCAGCAGATAGAGCACCCGTGTGAAAACTGTCATGTCCCCGTTAGTAAATACGTCACTGTTCAAAATCTCGAGGGTGGCCAGTCTGATAAACCTGTACTGCACTTTATTATTACACACATGGCGATGCAGAGGAGATAGAAGATTCCCAAATAGGCCTACTGCTGCAGAGGTGCTCTTGAGCAAGTCACCGTCGGTCTCACTTGATTTGAGGTGAACATGTTTCATTGAGGTTTTATTAAGACTGGGGTTTCCAAAGAGCCATGCCCATTTGTTGAGAGAAGATAGATGAAGGACAATGGAGAAGGAAGTGTCTTTGTGTCATTGAATCTGCAGGTGAAGATAACCAGGATGCTCACAAACCGGAAACACTTAAACACTACGAAGAACTATACAATGCTCTCAATGATTATCACGGTGTGCACATGTGGCATCATGTCAGTGACTGCATTTACTTCTGTTTATGTAAGACCATGTTCACGGGCCTACAGAAGAACACCAATATTAATGTGCGAATGAGATCATTTTTAAGATTTTTGTGGAAAGACCTAAGATTGTATGGTTATTGCAGCTACTAATGGTAGGCTAATTTAACTTCTCATGCCTCAGACATCCATAATATACACTCTCCCCTTTGCTGCTAAACCTTACTTACTAATGCTGTAAAAGAAAAATCCTGAATTTTGGTACAACATATTCCAACATTTGCATTATTTGTTTCCTTTGTATTCAAGTTTTGTGCCTTTTGTTTGCTGAACAGGCAGTAACAGATACTCTAGGGTTTCACTTTTCTCCCTTTTGCTTGCACAGTGTCAAAAGATTTTATAATTGTTTAGATTTTAACTGAACTACACTTATACTTAGAGTTTCCCGTATGCATTTTGCTACTTATTTCTGTATTTATCAAGCTTTATTGACAACATTGTTTTTCATTTTTACACCCCACAGATGTTCAGAGGGCTGAGAGTCGAGATAAGGTGGACTGACTCATGGAGACGCTATTTCTGGAGAAAAGTGGTCGTAACAGCAAAAGACAAACGCTGATTCACACCTGGTGCTTCTCCGAAATCAGGGTGAGAATTATGTTTCTTGCAGGTGTCTGGTGTTTGTGGATGGACTCAACGAGACATCACACAGACATGCAATCTTACACAACTTCCTGTACGACAGACAATCAGGCCGCAAAGGTAAACACACGTACACTGACCGCAGGTGCGTGAGAGGCCAGTGACACCTCAAGCCATGAGTGTAAAACTGAGTCAGAGCAAAGATTTGTCTTAGTGATCACCAATGAGAGAGTGGAGCCGCTTCTATCACAGTTAAAATAACCCTCAAATAAACCCTGCTGTCATCATCATTTACCGCATCAGTGGGTGTGTTTCTGCAACATCACAACATAAAGAGTTCATCATTTAAAATTTTAAGGACTTTGAGACATAAGATTAATATAGCAAATTTATGGACACAATCTAACAACATATATGGATTTTCTTGGAGAATATATTTTTTGAAAAGTGAATTAAGGTTTTCACACCTATACCATTTGGTAAGCTTAAAGCAAACTCGTATCTGGCAAT